TTATGGGAATTGTGACTTTGTGGTAAAAGATTTTCCTTCTCCCTAAAAAGGTTTTAAACAGAATTCAGAGTGTTTGTAGGAATTTTCTTTGGGGAGGTTCTTATCTTATGATTATAGGAGAACACCTCTAGTGCAATGGGAAGTGGCTGTAATCCTAGAAGATGTGGTGGCCTTGGCATAAAGAATATCATCAATTGGAATAAGGCAACTATTATGAAATTAAATTGGGATATTGCTAGTATAAAAGATGTGCCTTGGGTTAGGTGGATCCATAGCAGGTATATCAAAACCTCAAATTTTTGGGACTATATCCCTAAGCTAAGCTCATGCCATTATTGGAGACAAATGATTAAAGTGAGAGATAGCTTTAGGGATATGCAGTGTGCGGATGATTATACTCTCAAGAAGGCTTATGACTAGATCCAGGGGGGTAAATACTAAAGTCTATTGGGCTGACTAGGTGTAAAATAAGTTTACCCCTCCCAACCTCCAATTTATATTAGGCTCCTTGCAAAGGAAAGGATGAAAAAATGACTTGAGGTTGATACTAAGTGCAGCTTGTGTGGTGTTTTCCAAGAGGATAGTAAGCATTTGTTTTGTGAGTGTGAGTATGCTAAGAGGGTGTTCCAAGCTATATTGCAACCGTACATTATTTACTGCCATCCAAGAAGCATCAAAGACTTTCGAGAGCCTATTACCAAGAGTAATGATAGACATGATAAGAAAATTATGGCTGTGTGGGCTTGTGGTTGCTATGGAGTTTATAGAGCAAGAAACAATTGGATCCATCAGAATAATGTAAGTGTAGAACAAACTATTGAGTATGTATAGTTTAACTTTGAGAGTTTTGTCATGTACAAGTCATAGTTTGGCTAGCATGTGTTAGTAGGTGGAGGTTGGTGGCTTGTATTACTTTGTTGAATGTTGATGATAAATATAAGTACTTTTGTTTTAAAAAAAAAAAACTAAACTGAAGGACAATTTAGACTCTCATCAAAATTATGGTTCAGATTTTTTAAAATTCCTATTCGGATTTTTTAAAATTGCAATATTAAATTTATGATTCCAAGTATATCAAAATTAACCAAATTCAATTATTCAATCATAATCATCATTAATCTCTTCAAAACACAAGCACGAAAAAACAAATCTAGGAAAATAAACATACACAGAAGTAGAATCAATATGTGAATTGAACATATATCCATAAAAAAGATTACCGGGAACTTTGGGCCTCTCGATCAAAATCTCTTCAGTGGAGATCATGGTGAGATTGCTTCCAACGTCCTCACGCACAGCATCGCCGAACTTGGCCCATGACCGGCGCTCGATTGCCCGTTTACTGAGACGAGCCTTGGCGAGCTTCCGTGTGCGTGTCGTGGTGGTGACCTTCACCTTATTCCCGTCCTCGTCGAACTTGTACTCGACGATTTTCTTAATGCCGTTCTCATCTGGACCAAATACCTGCTTCGGCGGGAGGAGAAAATCCAGATCTCCCGTATCGTCTTCCTCCAACTCTCCCCATCGGAGCTTGCTCGCCGGCTTTGGATCTGGACCGGGACGATCGGACGTCATGGCGGTCATGGTCGATCGGTGAGGCGAGAGTAGAGATATCTGTAGGGTTTCTTGCTTTTACGTTTAACCGTCGATAAATCGATAATACTCGGGTTTGATAATATCTGTAGAGCGCTATGAGGTAAACCTATATGGTCTATATATAAACGGGCTTTTCTTGTTTATTACCGATTCAATTAGGAATTGGACAATAATTCCTTTGCACCAATATGGGCTTATCACTTTTTAAAAACAAAATGTTTAGCTATCCTTTTTAGATGGTGTTTGGCCATTGGTAGTGTGTTGCTTTTAATAATTTAACTTCTGCTTTGAGTAAAAGTGATTTTATTTTGTTTGGCACGCCAGTTTCTGTTTTTCACTGCCACTATTTTGTACACAGAACACCATTTCGGAGAAACAGGTATGAGGTGCTTTTGCTTTCAGCTTTTGTGGAAATCACTTTAACCAAGAGTTAATCACTCCCAAACAAGCTCTTATTCACATCATGAACCGCGTTCCTTAGAGCATGTACAATGGGGGAGGAGGGAGTCTGGAAATCGTGGAACTGCGAGAGGCGAAGCCCCATTGCGAAGCATCAGGCACGCCGGAAGCCGCGACGCTTTGCCGGTCTTGCAGCACGGGCGAGGAGAGCAAACAACTGTCCATTGCAGTGGGCCGTTGCGGCTGTCTGGAATTAATTTTCTCTTGTTTATTTATTTTAAATTTTATAAATTTAGCTCATCTTTAATTTAAATTTTAAGCATGTTAAATTTTCCCTTTTTATTAATGTAATATTTTTCAATTTTAGTATTTATTTGTTTATTTTAAAATTTTTAATTGGTACAATATTTTTTTTATTTTTTAAATTATTCATCTAGTTTTATTAATAAATAAATAATTTTATTAAATTTACATAAGTTTTTTATTAAAATGATGGATAATGTAAAAGAAATAAAAGGTTGGGCAATAGAGCAGTAGGAGCAATAGCATTCCAAATATTATGGAATGTAGTTGAAAATTAATGAAATGTTAATATAAGAGGCAATGGAACAATGGCCAATGGGTCAATCCCTTACATTGTAAGTGATCTTATGAATTATGGGTCATTTTCATTCCACTAGTTCTAGAAAATTAACTTTGTACATCTGTTTAGAATTCTGCATGTATATATACATGCAATTTGCTAACTTTTTTTTGAATGCTATTGACTCTATTACAAGATAGTATCTGTTCAAACTATTCTCAAGCTAATGACTAATGACGCACAAAGAGCCAATGTTGCTGCCTTCGTTGGGGCTCGAACCTGGGTGAACTTCCCCATGAATCCTGGGGAGTGGGCTTGCTACCACTCAAGCCAGGGGTGAAGTTCTGCAATTGGCTAACTATTTATCTATTTATTCGATCTTTTAGAATTTTACATGTATACATCAAAATTGAATATGTATTTATCTACTTATTCAATCTTTGCTATACAAATTTTTAGTTTTTTCGAATAGTGAGACCATACAATTTTCCATGGTCTTTTTATTTTAATATATATTTTTTCTATTTTATTTCAAAGTAGACGGCATCTTTATATGTAAAATATAAGTACATAAACATACAAGTATCTCTGTAGTATGTAATTTTTTTACTATATAGATTTTACATATTAAATAATATATCACAAAAAAATACTCCGTAAAAAATAAAAATATTACCATCTTTGTCTCCTTTGATTATTTTTATTTTGACTTTCTTAGTCAAAGGTTTGCAACCTTGACTATAAATTATCAAAAAATACATTAACTTTGATAAAAATTTAATATTAACATGTTCATTTTGAAAGAAAAAAAATAAAAATATCAAATTTAATTTTTATACTATATATTTATGCATAAATAAAGATACGGAGTATTAATGATTAAAGTGCTATATCCAAAATTCTGAAAAATCAAATGAGATACTCTCTCTGTCCCATTTTAAATTACCTGTTTGCCTTTTTTCTCCGTCCCAAAATAAGTTGCCTGTTAGTTGTTTTCGTAAACTTAAAAAAAAATACTTAAACTACCCTTAAAATAAGTCACTCTTCTTCACATTATCTTCTCATTCATCATCACTCCTCCTAAAAAGTAATGACAATTTTAGAAAAATCAACTATATTTTTTATTTTCCTTAAATATGCCTAAAAGTCAAAACAGTCGATTTAAATTGGAACGGAGAGAGTAAATCACAATACACGGATGAAATACCATATTACAACTGAAATGCTACTAAAGAGAAAAAATAAAACTCATAATGGTAATACATAATTTCCCAAAACACATTTAATATTTTTTACACTGCAATAGTTCTATTTTTTAATTGATTTGTTAAAATTAATAACATTTCTAAGTTTGGTTGGACTAGGATTGGATTAGAAAGAAAACACGGAGTATAACTGTATAAGCATCCCTCTCCCTGCAAATCTCCCTTGAAGCAAGCAACTCGTCCTGCGCTGTCAATTGATCAGGTATGAATGAATTGTACATTCTCCGTTACTTCTCTCCGTTACTCGTAGCATTTAGCAAAGACAAAGAAAATCAAATTTCTAAGTAATTTTACAAATTCGTACAGAAGTTCGGAGCCTATCTGAGGATAATATTTTTTTGAATGCTATTAACTTTATTAAAAATATACGGAGTAGTAATATATTTTAATCGAGTTACTAACACTTAAAAAAGTTATACAAATTCATTTCTCTGGTTATTGGTCTTATTTTTTTTAAGTCCAATCCAACAAGATTGAATTTTTAAAGCTCGTTTAGTGAGAGTAGGAGATACAGGTTCAAAATCCTTTGTTATTTATGTCGATTATTAATAATCATTATTTTTTTCAAACATTTTCATTCCAGATTTCAGAACAAATATCATATAAATCATTAAATCAGACAAAGATTATATTAGGAGTGATGGGTAATAACCCATGGATACCACCCGGTTGGTTCGTCCGACTGGGTGGTGATCGAGGTAACGGAACGTATCCTTCCCAGACCGGGTTGTGAGACCGGTTGGTTGGATGATTTGGGTCGCATGATAGGGACAGATAAGATTCTCGAAGTACTTTTATGCAACCGGTCAGACAAATGACCGGTTGGATAACCAGAGACGTGCTTGACGTGCTTAATTATGTTATAAATACCCCTAAAATCCTCATTTGTGAGGTATGTTTTAATTAACCTACACGGCTTGTACTTTGTAATAGTCCTAGCATTATCAATAACAAACCAGGCTACAGGTGTTTCCACCTACAGCCCTTCCGACTACTTTTACTCTGTATTTGCGTGGTAATTTACTCCATCAAATTGGCGCCATCCGTGGGACCTATTACAAAAAGTCATGGCCAGTAACCAAGAAACTGTGATCTCACAAGTATCTACCCCCGCTGAGAACGTCACTTCGTTCCCGGGAGGTAGTACCCAGCGAATAACCCAGATTCCTACCCCCATCATCACCATTCCACAACCTATCCCATTCACTTCCCCCGTAAACCCTGTTCCCATTTTTCCTTCAAACTTCCCGGGGGCCCTGGATCCAATGTACAGCCAGACCATTCAGAATTTTGGACATTTCATGTCCATGTTCCAGCAACCGGGAGGGTTTTCACCTTTCAATCCGGGATTGTTTTCACAATCCACGCCTCAAACTAACGTCATTCGCTCGATTGTCCCGACGAACTTGATCGGGGAGATGGATAAAGCGGGTCCATCCCGGTCCAGAAGAAGCCGGTCACGTAGGTCACAGACAAAGGTGACCTCGGACGGGAATGTGCGTTCAGTCCACAGCAAGGACGAGGATTGGGATGTCCCCCAAGCGCTCAAAAAATTGAAGGGAAAGGATGTTCAACCGGAAGGATCTAGGAGGTCGGCCTTTCAAAGGCTGGGACACGATGGCCGAAATCAAAACCGGTCAGCAAAGGAACGGCTGGGAGTAGAAACCATCCCAGCTAGTGCCTTTAATCGTGCGGGGAGAGGAGCCGGACGACCTGGTCAGACCAGGCGAACGGAACCACCCCCTCGTGATGAGCCCCAACACAGCAGGACGCCGCGAGAGGAGGAAGCCGAAAGCCACCCCAGGCACCCGACCCGATCTCATGTTGAACAACCTCGGGATCGTGTGGGCCGGGTTGAGGCACGTCTGGAGAAACTACAGCGCCGGGTAGACCGGGAAGAAAAGAAGAAGGTTCTGCTGAACGAATCTCCGTTCACAGACCGGGTTCATGAGATCCCGTTTCCAAAGAAGGCGAAACTTGAAGTCCCTAAGTTCACCGGGAAGGAGGACCCGGAAATCCACGTCAAAACCCTCCATCAAAGTGGGCGGATGATGGGTCTCTCCGGAGACGAGAAATGTTTGCTTTTCTTTCAAACCCTCCGCGGCCGCGCCGCCGAGTGGTTTCATAACTTACCGGCCGGTGAAATCGATTCTTTCGATCAACTGGCCGAGGTGTTTCAAGAAAAGTTCAAAGAAAACTGTACTAAGAGGAAAAAGTTCACCTACTTGAGTACAGCCGGGCAAAGGGAGCACGAGGATCTGACGAAATTCCTCACCCGGTGGAAGGATGAAGTTGACAAGGTAGAGGAGATGGACGACAAAACGGCAATGTCTCTCCTTGTGTCCGGGCTCCGGTCCGGAGAACTATACAAAGAATTCTGCAGGAGACCTCCCCAGTCCTACCAAGAGGCCTATAACACGGCCTGGGATTATGCTGACGCGGAGGCACAGGTGTCATCCAAGCGGGAGGCCGAGCAGGGCCATTCGAAAGGAAAAATTTCCTTGAAAAAGGAAATGGACCTTCCCGGTAGGGTGAAGGCGGAAGTCATGGAGGTAAAGCCAGTCAAAACAGAGAAGAAATCAACCGCCGAGAAACAGTGGACGGAGAAGTATTGCTCCTTTCACAAAACTGACTCCCATAACACTGCAGAGTGTAACAGTGTGAAGGGAGTAATAAAGCAGATGATTGAGGCCGGAGAGATTGATCCTGAGTACCTAGCTCAGGCCAAACAAAAGAAGAACCAATGGGTCAGACCTGAAGGACAGCCGGCTGAGCAGAACAAAAAGAAAAAAGCAGCCGGCAAGGAGCATTTACAGGTCATTTATGGTGGACCGGAAAGGGGAGATTCTGCTTCCCAAAGGAAAAAGTGGGGAAGAGAACTCTACGTGGGGACGGTAGCCCTCAATCCTCGGTCAAAACAAGCAAGACGGGAACCGATCACTTTCACTGACCGGGACCTTCCCGCCACCGGAGAAGATCACAATGACCCCCTGGTGATAACTATGGACATGGGTGGAGTCGATGTCTCCCGGGTACTTGTTGACACAGGCAGCAGTGTTAACGTTTTGTACCTGGATGCGTTTGAGAAGCTCAAGTTGTGTCGAACACGGCTTGAGCCCTTAAAGACACCCCTGTCTGGGTTTACCGGGGACTCAGTCGAAGCTGAAGGATCGATCCTTCTAACTTGTGAGCTGGGTACGGGCGATCAGGTCGTCCAGAAGCAGATGAGGTTTGTAGTTGTGAACATCAAATGCGTTCACAATGCTATTTTGGGCCGGCCTGGAATAAACAAGGTCCGAGGGGTCATCTCCATGGCTCATCTCTGTATGAAGTTCTATACCCCGGGCGGTATAGGACAAGTGAGAGGAGATCAAAAGAAGGCCCGGCATTGCTTTCTGGAGGCCGTAAAGAAAATGACAAAGGCCTTTGAGAGAGTCACTTTGGTCTCTCAAGAAGAAGACCGGTCAAAGCTGGAACCGGGTGATGAGACCGAGCAGATCGTTCTCCGGGAAGCATTCCCAGAAAGAATGGTGAAGATTGGCAGAGATCTGCCCGGAGGACTTCGAGATGAAATCATCTCGGTCCTTCGAGAATATGCAGACATTTTCGCTTGGAGTGTGGCGGACATGCCGGGCATTGATCGCTCTGTTATATGCCATCGTTTGGCTGTAATGGAGGGGAGCCGGCCAGTGAAACAAAAGAAGAGGCACTTGGCAAATGTCCGGAGGGACTTTGTGAAAAAAGAGGTGAAGGATTTGTTGGCGGTCGGGCACATAAGAGAAGTGCAGTACCCGGCCTGGCTAGCAAACGTAGTCTTGGCTCCAAAGGGCGATACCTGGCGCATGTGCGTGGACTACACCGACCTAAACAAGGCATGCCCCATGGATTCATACCCGCTGCCCAGTCCCGATCAGATGGTCGATGAGACGGCCGGGTGTGAATTGCTCAGCTTCATGGATGCCTTCAAAGGCTATCACCAGATCTTCATGGCCAAGGAGGACGAGGAGAAGACTTCATTCTTAACACCTGAAGGTACTTATTGCTACCGGGTAATGGCCTTCGGACTGAAGAACTCGGGCGCCACTTACCAGAGGATGGTCAACCGGCTTTTTAAGCCACTCCTTGGTAAGTCCATGGAGGCCTATGTGGATGACATGCTGATCAAGAGCCCGGGTGCGGAGAACCACCCGGCCGATATGAGGCATTGCTTCGAGATTATGGCTAAGTACAACTTGCGTCTCAACCCCAAGAAATGCGTCTTTGCTGTAAAGACCGGTAAGTTTCTGGGGTTCATGGTGACCAAGCGTGGGATTGAGCCTAATCCAGAGAAGATCAAGGCTATAACTGAAATGAGGTCGCCTAGTTCGTTGAAGGACGTACAACGACTTACCGGGCGGTTGGCAGCCTTGAGTCGTTTTCTCTCCCGGTCTGCCGAGAGGGCTCTGCCTTTTTTCAAGGTGTTAAAGAAGGCCAACACATTCGAGTGGGACCGGGAGTGTGAGGAAGCTTTCCAGCAGCTAAAAGAGTACTTAGTCTCTGATATTGTGTTGTCAAAACCCAAACCGGGTGAGACTTTGTACTTGTATCTGGGAATTTCCCAAAATGCTGTAAGTTCCGTTTTGATAAGAAATGAAGACGGCCAGAGGCCTATTTACTATGTGAGTAAAGCACTAAATGGGGCTGAGAACCGGTACACTGCCATCGAGAAAACGGCATGCGCGCTTTTTATAACGGCCAAAAAATTGACCGCGTACTTCCAAGCTCACACAGTGGAAGTTTTAACCGATCAGCCACTTGGACCGGTTCTCCGAAATTCAACCTCCTCGGGAAGATTGATCAAGTGGGCAATGATGCTCACTCAGTTCAAAATAGAATATAAACCAAGGACTGCAATTAAAGGTCAGGCCTTGGCAGACTTTCTCGTTGAACTGACCGGTCTGGAGCCCGAAGCCGGACCTTCCCATACGGTCGAACCGTGGTGGGATATGGCCGTTGATGGGGCCTCTGGACCGAAGGGATGCGGGGCCGGTGTAGTCTTCACTACCCCGGAAGGATTCAAGATCTACCATGCCTTGGTCTTCAACTTCAAACTCACCAATAATGAGGCGGAGTATGAAGCTTTGGCCGGTGGTCTCAGAATAGCCCGGGCGCTTGGAATAAAAAGGATGAAGATCCGTTCCGACTCAAGTCTAGTGGTTGGGCAGGTCAATGGTGAGATGGAAGTGAAAGAGGATCGCCTGGCCCGGTATAGTGATCTGGTACGAGCGCTTCTAAGGGAATTAGAAGAGTTTCGTCTGACTAGAATATCCCGGTCGGAAAACGCTGATGCTGATATGCTTTCGAAATTAACGCAAGCTTGCCCGGAGCATGTGTCGAAATTGGCAAAAATTGAGATACTAGACGTGCCGAGTACAGACCGGTTTGAGGTTGCGGCCATCCAACCGGGCCAGACTTCATCATCCGGGATAATCGAGGCGGATGATGATTGGAGGTACGAGCTCATGGAGTATTTGGAGACCGGTCAGAAGCCTGATGACGAGGAATGAGCCAGGAAGGTGGTCCTACGGGCTCCGCGTTTCCAGGTGATCGACGGCCACTTATACAAACGAGCAATTGGCGGACCACTCCTGCGTTGCCTTACCAACCCGGAGGCTGATCGGGTGATTGCCGAGGTACATGAGGGAGTTTGTGCAGCCCATCAAATGTCTCGCACCTTGGCTCAAAGGATAATCCTACTAGGCTACTACTGGCCGACCATTGTTGGGGATTGTGAGAGGTATGTCCAGAAATGTAGGACGTGCCAGGTTTTTTACAAACATCCCGGCAGACCGGCCACTTATTATCAACCTACCTCTAACGTCATACCATTTGCCCGGTGGGGGATTGACATTGTTGGGGCCTTCCCGGTTGCCCAAGGCGGAAAGAAATTCGTGATGGTGGCTATTGATTACTTCACTAAGTGGATTGAGGCTGAGGCGATGGCCACCATAACCGTACGGCAATGTGAGAAATTTGTTTGGAAGAACATTATCACCCGGTTTGGTTCCCCAAAAATTATCGTTACCGACAATGGCCCACAATTTCGCAATCCCCGGTTCACTGCGTACCTTGCTAGCTTTGGGGTCAAGCACAGCAAGGCCTCGGTCGCATATCCACAGGGAAATGGCCAAGTGGAAAACGCTAACCGGACAATTGTGGACGGTCTAAAAAAGAGGTTAGGTGAGGAAGGACACAAATGGCTAGAAGCCTTGCCACACACGGTCTGGGCACATAGAGTGACTTCAAGAAGAGCAACTGGAGAGACTCCTTTCGTGCTCACCTACGGGTGCGAAGCCCGGTTACCAGTGGAGGCAGAAATTCCAACATTCAGAGAAACCGTCTATCAGCCCGGCCTGAATGAGACTGAACACCTAGCTGAGCTAAATCTGGTGGAGGAACGAAGGACCATAGCAGCTGTCAAGATGGCCGGTTACCAGCAGTCGGTAAAGCGGTATCATGACAACCGGGTTGGGCCGCGGTACTTCCAAGTACATGACGAAGTCTTGCGCAGAAGGGATGCTAGTAAGCCTAATGAGAGGGGCAAGCTGGTGCGAAACTGGGAAGGGCCCTATCGCATAAAAGCGATTGTCAGACCGGGCACTTACCAGTTGGAGACAATGGAAGGCGGCCGGGTCGAGCGACATTGGAACTCTCACCACTTACGTAAATTTTATAGATAGTGTAATGACTTCCCCAGCCATTAATAAAAGTTCGTTCTTTTCAGAAGGATTGTTCTCATATATATATTAACCGGTCATTCGTCGTGTGCCGATCTACCCGGTTAGGTGTCCAATCGAATTGGACATCGCAAAAAAAAAAAAAAAAGAAGAACCGGTCTGACCGGTCTAAGACCTCATCCGTACTGACACGAGAGTTAAAAAACAATTTGGCTTTACTAGTGGGAGAGCATCCCGGCCAGTTTAAGCCAGATGTTTGGAAGAAAAATTTAAGGTTTGCCTATCTACACGAGGCGTTAAGCCATTGTGTAAACAGGTCGGACTTGCGAAAACCCGGGCAAGTGCTCATCCTTTCGCAAAGGATAAAGTCAGTACGCCATGGAAGGTAAAGACCAAACCGGGAGGAAATTAATAAAACTTAGAGTCTTCCCGGCTGACTATCCAGTCTTTCGAAAAGACTTGGATAGAATTGTATTCTAAGCCGGGTAGTTACAGCCGAGCTGTTATCTACTAATCTAAACGGTTGAAGAATCCAAGTTAAAAAAAATTAATGAGACAAAAAAAAAATAAATAAAGCACTCGGCACATGATGTAGCAAATATTTTCATTAATATTTCAATGTCTTACAAAAGTGCCCAGAGGCCGATCATTACATCATAAAATATATAAAAAAAGAAAAGAAGCCCGGCCGGATAGTTCAGATGCCTGGGAAGGGAGGGACCGGCGCCTCGTCATGGAGCTCGGGCAGAGAAAGGGCCTTGGGTTGAAAGTTTTGAACCCTTCGCGCAAGGATGCCATAGAGGGCCTTCCGCTCTGAGTACTGGCCGCTTTCATACCCATAGGTCCCGATCTCATCCACCAGGCCGGCCGATACCGGATGCTTGTACAGACCTTGGAAGAAGCGGATGCCTGTCTCCCGGTCTGGCAAGGCCTTGGCAGCGAACTCTTCTGGCGCCTCAGAAGCCCAGGCAGCGGCGACGGCGGCCCGCTCCGACTGCTCTTTCTGCAGCTCATCGCTAAGCCGGGCGATCTCCTCGGCTGACCGGGAATTCTCTGCCTCCAGCTGCTGAATCCTGGCCTGGGCCTGCTCATCGGCCTCTTTTGCAGCCTTGAGCAGTCCGTCGTGCTTGGCATAGAGCTGGCGGTAAACCGCACAGTGCTCTGTCCATTTGGCCTCGATCTTCTCTGCCTTGGCCCGGGCAGCCTGTGCTTCCTTCCGGCTCTCGACCATCATGGCCTCCATCCGGGCCTTCTCCTCATCCATCGACTTCACCAGCCGGGCGAAGTACTCCTCCCCGATCCGGCCGACCTGCTTTAAAGACATCGAAAGTTTCAGAAAAAAAAAAACAACAAAAACAATAAGGAAAGGGGAGTTACCTCAGTCAGATCGACACGAAAAGCTTGGAAAAGCTCTTCGTTTGACCGGTTCATCAGGAGTGGGGACCGGGGCACTATAGGTCCTTTGCCAGCATCGGAGGACTGGGGCCCTTGGTGAGCCGGCTAGTTAACCTCTTCAGTCCTCCGCCTTTTTCGTCGAAGAGACTCCTCAGCGGCCTCTTCTTCGGCCTCGACCTCCTCGTTGGGCTGGCCTCCCCTACCTGCCTGGGATGTATGCCCGTTTTCTCCCATCAGGGTGTCGAACTCGAAGGTCTCTACATTGATGTAGAGATCCCCCGAGTGAATGGGCTGGTTGGTTCCCTGATGGGATTGGGTTGGTTGCTCCTCCAGGAAGAAAGGCTGGTTGGAGGGAGGAGTGAGTGGCTGAGCAGAGGAGGGCTGCTCAACCACGATCTCGGGAACGGCAAACTTGGACTGGAATTTCACCACTGAAACAAATAAGAAACCGGTTAGAGGAAAGGAGTTGCGAATATAAAAAGAAAAATTAGAAAAGGGCAGTTGATTGACCTTTCTCCTTCTTCTTCTTCGTCGGGCGTGAAGGACCGGCGGCGGCTGTGGCCTTGGCTTTGGATCCCATCGCCCGGCTGATGGGGATGGCTTCGGGGATCGTCCCGGGCAGAACAATCTCCGGCTCGGGGTCGGTCTCCCGGCCGGGGTAGACGCTCCACTTCCCGATGTGGTACTGACCGCGGGTGGAGGCGTCCCCGGCCCGGAGAGTGGCTTCCCAAGTAGCCAGGTCATCAGCCTCCGCAGGTTTGACCTGACGCCTCATCCTCTTCCCCCAGACATTTTGAGCGAAAGGAAAAGAAGCCGGGGGGAATTTGATGGACACGTATTTGTCCTTCCACTTCTTGTTAGAAGGTGGAAGGCCACAGAGGAATGCCCGGCCTTGGTGAGAAGACACCACCACGAATCCAAGTGTTTCTTTGGATCCGGGCCGGACATCGAACATGTGATCGAAGAGACGAAGGGAGAGAGGAATACGGAGAAACCGGCAGACGTTGATGAAACTGGCCAGCAGACGGTGACCATTTGGGGCCAATTGCCCGGGCATGATCCCGTAGGTCTCAAGGAAAAGGACTTTGAATGGGTGAATGGAGAATTCACCCAAGTCCTTGATCGAATGGTAATGGATACCAATCGACGTACCGGTGTGGAGAGGTATAATGCTCTTCCATGTGGCCCGGTATGTCAATTGATACCCATCAGGCATCAGATTACGCAGCTTGTGGACTTGGGGCTTCTGCATATACGACGGCTGCTCTTGGAGTAACCGGTCGTCTAGCTGGATGAAGCCCTCGTCCCCGGTCTGGGCAACCGAGACCACTTGCGCCGCGGAAGAAGAAGGAGCGCAAGCGGAAGCATCAACCGGCTTCTTCTGTGGAGAAGTAGCCGGGCGCTCAGAATCAGAGGATGAAGAAGAAGAAGAGGAACTAGGTGTTGGAGACCGGTCACCAGAACCATAGGAGTGAATGGACGGGTTCTGGCTATCCTCACGGTCAGACATGACTCAGAAAGGGAAGGAGAGACTTACTTGGAAACGATTAGAAGACTCGGAGGACTCGGAAATAGCAGAAGAAGCCGGGCAGTTTTTTTGAATCGAAGATTTGCAAGTGAGGAAATTCCAAGGAGAACGACGCTTTATATAGGGGAGATGCCGTCCAAACGGGCGACTGAAGGAATGACACGTGGCAGCTGAAATGATTCGTCATCATAACCTCTCGGGGAGACGAAACGGCACCTTAAATCGGCGGCTCTGTACCCGATTTCGAGAAGATTCTCCCGCCTTGGACGCCCGGTTTTTGAAAATTTAAAAATCAAATTTCAAATTTCAAATATTTTGGATTGGGCGCTGGTTTTCCGAGGCCATTTTCCCGCCAAAAAACGACTGGGCAGTTCAAATTTCAGGAGTTGATCGCATATGCTTCCCGCTCCTGATGGTCCCCACAGGACCGGGAATCGGAGGACTCCTTGATGGGTAATAACCCATGGATACCACCCGGTTGGTTCGTCCGACTGGGTGGTGATCGAGGTAACGGAACGTATCCTTCCCAGACCGGGTCGTGAGACCGGTTGGTTGGATGATTTGGGTCGCATGATAGGGACAGATAAGATTCTCGAAGTACTTTTATGCAACCGGTCAGACAAATGACCGGTTGGATAACCAGAGACGTGCTTAATTATGTTATAAATACCCCTAAAATCCTCATTTGTGAGGTATGTTTTAATTAACCTACACGGCTTGTACTTTGTAATAGTCCTAACATTATCAATAACAAACCAGGCTACAGGTGTTTCCACCTACAGCCCTTCCGACTACTTTTACTCTGTATTTGCGTGGTAATTTACTCCATCAAGGAGTATACCAAATAGATGATAGACGCATATAAACCATAATTATATGCAGAAATAATTGTTGTCTACTCCCTCCGTCCGGAAATATTCTTCCCGTATTGACTTGGCACGCTTATTAAGGAATAGTAAAAAAAATGCAAAATTTTTAAAAATGCATTTACCATAAACTTTTAAATCTCCTTTTATTATTAAAAAAGTATTAAAAAAGTAAATTTGTGATAAAATAGAAGGATATAATTGATATTTAGCCTTAAAAAGCATACTAAAAAAGGAAATGAGAAGAATATTTCCGGACGGACTAAAAAGGAAAATGGGAAGAATATTTTCGGATGGAGGGAGTATAATTTAGACACATGAATAATGATAGTATCATTTGTAGATTCTTTGCTTGTCACACTAATTAAAAAAAAACCAACCAATCACAAACCGCCGGTGACGCCAAATCCTGTGCATAATTTTCTTTCTTTTATTTTTCCCTTGTGATTAATTTCTTGGGACACAGCCAACTCAGATGTTGATAGAACGATAGAGTGATCATTCATTGCTTAACGCCGTGAAAATTGGAGCGGAGAAAAATCCCAATTTTAACCCCCCACTGATTTGTCCCCTTAAAAACGAAACCCGGTTCGAAATCCGCCATGGCTAGAAACTCCATCCGTCTTCTGTAATTTCCTGGGGCCTATACGCATTCCTATCAATCCAAAGTTTTTATAGAGGGGGTGACAGGGTGTGACGAGCACCCCCATTCTCGTCGTTTGCCGGGGGGTTTGTCAAAAAAGGAGGGAAAATTTTGGCTCGGGCCTTGACCGAGTCGACTCGCCCCCAACGCGGCATCCTGCACTTGATCTGAGCCTGGTTGGAGGTGAATTGTCTGAATTGTGACTTGCCCGCGTCCTGCCTTCTTGATTATGCATTTGGATCTGATCATAATTGGGCAACGAGTGATTTGGGAGTTATTATCTTTGATTTGTTTGTTCTTTTCTGCTATTAAACTGGGAATTTTGGTAATGTAGATTTGATTTGGTGTGGGGTTGTAGCAAAAAATAAGGTTATTAATGCTATATAGCTTTGGATCTGGTGCTCCAATTGCTCGTTGGGTTCATATTCGTATTTCGTTTCCTTAAAATAGGCAATGATCTGTTGTCTATTAGGAAATGCTAATGTGTTTCAATCGTATTTTGTGGGATCAGTTGGTTCTATGAATTTGGGGAAATTTTGTGATCTTCTTGTAATGATTTTGGGGAAAGCTTTTAAATTTGAAGGAAAGATGAACACAATGAGCTATTTTTCCGGGTCATGAAGGATCTGGTTTATAATCTACTTCTGTTATATTTTGAAGTATTTTTGAATTGTGTGTGGATCTAATTTACTGCAACTCCTCTGTTACATCTAGCAAATGTTACTCAACTGGCATTATATAACAATGGATCTACATTTGCTGCAACTTCTAACCCCTATTTTTAGTTAAACCATTATTCAATTTGGAAGCTCACTTGAGACTGAAGATTCATCATCTAGTGACAATTCCCATTAAAAGCTTCCGACGTGTTCAATAGCTGGAAATTGGACTCTAGGTCTCTTTCTGTTTCAGCCCATTGTCATAGTTTCCTTTTTTCTCTTTCTTTTTTTTTCCGCTTAGCCATGCAACCGCACAGACGTGTCAGTCTCAAAATGTTACGTGCCGTGTTAGACTGTTTTTTGCTATTTTTTTCTTCAAGCGTGAATATGAGCCGTTGATCACCATCTCTTGCCTACAGATGTCTGTACATTGTTTCATAGTTGTACACGATTCTTTCCTTTTTGCTATGATAAATACCGGTGAACTTAGCCAATTGTAATATGTGCCTTCCATTTCCCTTTTTAGTATTAACATAAATCCTTGTTTCCAGAAGCATCAAACTCTAAAAATGAAGGCCCTAATTCTTGTTGGAGGCTTTGGTACTCGCCTGAGGCCATTGACCCTGAGTGTCCCTAAGCCGCTCGTTGATTTTGCCAACAAACCTATGATTCTGCATCAGGTAGGTGTTCTTTTTTAAAAGCAATGTAGATTCTGAACACACACACACACACACACACATATTGCTTCTGTTTTCACATTATAATTCTTGTTAAATGATGTGATGATCAGATTGAGGCACTTAAAGAAGTTGGGGTGACTGAAGTGGTTCTAGCTATTAACTACCAGCCTGAGGTTGATTACATTCTTATTTTGTCTTAAATGTTATTAATGCCTTTGACATTCTTATTTGGCTTAATTGTTATCAATGCCTTTCCTTTCAGAAAACTCAGCAGATTTAACCATTTTAGCCAAATACCCACCAAATGGGCCCTTAATTCTTGACTGTTAAGAAGGGCATTTTTATATGTAGGTGATGCTGAATTTTTTGAAAGATTTTGAATCAAAGCTTGGGATCAAGATCACCTGTTCACAAGAGACTGAACCGCTTGGGACAGCGGGTCCCCTTGCCCTGGCCAGGGACAAGCTGATAGATGAGTCTGGTGAGCCATTTTTTGTTCTTAACAGTGATGTCATTAGTGAATACCCTTTCAAAGAGATGATTGAATTTCACAAGGCACATGGAGGTGAGGCTTCCCTACTGGTAACAAAGGTAAATCTCTAATTACACCTCCCATGAAAATTTGTTTTTTACATAATTTTCGGATCGGGATCCTAAAGTTCTTTTTTTTGACATTAAGAACCCGTTGTGTTGCAGGAAAATAACTTATTGTGGGCTAAGGAGAGTATTATCTAAGAAAATATTTTCCTAGAAAAGAATTTTTTCTATACATAATATTGCAAAATGTTTGATCTACACATATATAAAACATGCTTAAACTTTTTTTTTTCAGGAAAATGACTTCCTTTTTCAGAACACGGTGTCATTTTTTTACAAAATGCCGAAGATCAATGAAAATATTTTCATTTCAAAAAAACAATTTATGGTGACAATTGAACACCAGAACATTTTCCTGTTCCAAATACAAGAAATCCCAGAAAATATTTTCTTGGGGAGCCTTAATTTTAAGCATCACACTGTTGATATAGGTTGATGAACCTTCAAAGTATGGTGTTGTTATCATGGAAGATTCAACCGGCCAAGTGGACAGGTTCGTGGAGAAGCCAAAAACCTTTGTTGGTAACAAGATCAATGCTGGGATTTACCTTCTCAACCCTTCGGTCTTGGACCGAATCGAATTGAAACCCACCTCAATTGAGAAAGAGGTGTTCCCGAAAATCGCAGCAGAGAAGAAGCTCTTTGCCATGGTCCTTCCGGGCTTCTGGATGGACATTGGGCAGCCCAAGGATTACATCACCGGGCTGAGACTCTACCTGGACTCCCTGAGGAAGAAGGCCTCGCCCAAATTGGCTTCTGGGGCCCACATTGTCGGGAACGTGATCGTGGACGAGACCGCAAAAGTCGGGGAGGGTTGCTTGATCGGGCCGGACGTCGCGATCGGGCCGGGCTGCACGATCGAGGCCGGGGTCAGGCTGTCCCGCTGCACCGTCATGCGTGGGGTCCGCATCAAGAAGCACGCGTGCATTTCGAGCAGCATCATCGGGTGGCACTCCACGGTCGGGCAGTGGGCCCGCGTGGAGAACATGACCATCCTCGGGGAGGATGTTCATGTCTGTGACGAGATATACAGTAATGGGGGCGTGGTCTTGCCCCACAAGGAGATCAAATCCAGCATCTTGAAGCCAGAGATCGTTATGTGACTTCCAGCAAAGTTATGTGTTGTTCTTGTGCTCTGTTATGTGGCTGTTTCTTTTTCTTTTCTTTCTTTTCTTTTTTAAATGTAATTTCCTTTCCCTGTTGTTTGCTTTCCTTTTTTCGAAGTTGTGTTTGAGTTTATAAAAGCTGTGTGATAGGCTTGTTGGTGTTATAATGTACATTCAATGGTGTCAATCTGCATAATAATTTATTCACCTGCAAATATCCGATCAGGTTTATACTTTATAAATACTTTATTATGGCTGTTCCTAATTATTTAGATTATTTTTGGACCAAAATGATTCAAGATATTTTGAACAATTCATCATAATTGTTTTTTATTGACGGTTTTTGCTAAATTCACTCCTTTTTTGCTATATCCACCTCATTTGTCAAAAAATGACAAATTTATCTTTAAAGTGTAAAAACAAGGAAACACATGTGAGTTAACTTAAGGATAAAATTGAACATTTGCCATTAATGGGGTTGATATAGCAAAAAGAGCTGAATTTAGCAACACCCTTTATTGAATATAGAAAGTACACAATTACGGAGTACTTTATATAGAGTAAATGAAAACAAAGTAGATAATTGAATCTGGGACAGAGAAAGTATAAGAGAGTGTTTTTTTATGAGTATCCATTAGTGTTGTTGTGAGGTTCTATGTTACCTTCCGTTCTCACATTAACTTTTAATACTTCATCCTCACATTAAGAAACCTTTATGTTTGGCAACTAGCATTTCATTTCAATTCATGCATTTCAAATCCAAAATTTGAAATCCTGAATTTCAAATGACAAGGGGAGGTGCATGAATTTCAAATTAAGCTTGGTTTTGAATGTAAAGAATTTGATTCAAATCCAAATTCAAAATGCTTAAGTTTCCCAAACATGGAATTTAAGTCTAATCCGGATTTGAAATCCAAATCCATGTTCCCAAACATACCATTAGTTATTTCTAATGTAAGTTATTCACACTATATTTGGTTCATGAAATTCAAATTCAAAATAACATAGATTCCTTTCTTTCTTGTCACCAAATTAGAAGAAAACTTGTTCTCTTAGCTCATTCTCCACTAATTTTGTTTTTCTTCCACACTTTTTGTCCCCTTTAACCAAACAAGAAAAATTATTTATCATTTTCTTTTCCCTTCCAAATTCCTTGAATGGAACATAGTGTCAATATTCAAGTGTTACTTCAGCCCAGATCAGCCATGACAAGGGATCAAAAAGCTTCATAGAACAAAAAAACCAGTAGAAAGTTATACTAGTGTCAATTACACGGGCACCCAAAACAGAAGTATAAAATATAAATTACTCTATTATTCACAAGGGAAGTCAAGAATATGATGATCATCAGAGAGTGAGTGTATTGCAGTTGCATTCTATTGCTGGGATGCAGCAAAGGCGACGAGAAGGAAGAAGGTGACATGGGAAGAGACGGCAAGGAGGAACCAGGAGATGAATGCCATTGCGATTGATATTTGGAACATGGAGCACGACATCTTCTCCATCCTCCTGCAGATCACCGTGTCCCTGTCGAACAAGATGGCCACTCCTGCTGATGCACATGCTGCTGAAAGTGATAGGGTGGCCGTCACCTGAATGGATTGTATGTATTTATATATATACATACCCAACATATACATACGGACATACCCTAACATTAGATCAAGAACAAGCCTGTTTTGGTGGGGGGTGGGGGGTGGGGTGGGGGGAGTATATGAATTACTCCTTCGATTCACCTTCAACTGACTGTTATAACTGTTGTGATACATCATCAAAATTTAATGAATACAAATGTACATCGTGTCTTCATTCATTCAGTTTTTTAATGTATCGAGAAAGTCATAATCGTCAGTTAAACAGAGAAACGATGGATTACGAGACATGAATAATTTGAAGGCAAGAAAGAGTAGGAAGAGCATGTACCCAATCACCAACAACGAACAGGCTCACCAACACATGATTTTGCATGTCTTTTTTCAACCGCAATGCGTGGATATCAAGACAAACAAGTGTGAAGCTCCACAGCACTTGAAGCCCCATCGATGCAATTAAGTAACTGTGCCAAAGGGGTAATCACAATGATATGATATCAATGATGGAGCTAGATGAGTCATTATTGACAATGTTTTTGCTTCAGGTAAATAATGGAATGAAGCAAAATGACACATCAAACTTCATTTACTTTTTATGAGCTCCCAAACCCCAACGTGGTTGGGATTATACTGGGTTTTGTTGTTGTAGCAAAAGAGACAATCGCAATGACAATATCAACAATCAAGAAACTTTAAAGCAATAACCAAAGGGGCATTATAAAAGAGCAGAGCAACCATATAAGTAAGTTGTGAGGTTACTACATTCACTAAAAAAATGTGGCACTCATGCTTTAGATTTAGCGCTTTGAGGTTTAACCCATTCAATCAGTTAAATTTAGCCCAATAATTTAAATATTTTCGCAATTCAAAACCCCGCATCACATGATTTCTCTTCCTCATTAACATCAGATGCTCTTCCGACTTCCAGTTCAATTCAGTCAGAGGTACCCCAAAGTGCACATAAGTGAGTTAAGTGACCATATACTAGAAAAACTATGGTTAGTCTGCAGTTTGTGCTTATGTGCTTGTGTGCTTTTTTTTCTGTTTTATGTTGAAATCTTGGAGTCGGTTTGTGTACCTTTTTTTGTCTAAATTCGTACTTCATTCGTGCTTCAGAGTTTATGCTCTCTTGGAAACAAGCACACTATTTCATAGTAGGAGTAAGGTCAATGTGCACAGATAGTCAGATACTTCCAAACCCTACTTTTTTTGTGGGAATTTACTGGGTTTATTATTATATTATATTTAACGATTTACAGTAATAATTACATGAATACCAACAAATAGAAAACAAGATATAGAAATGTAGACATAAATATGAATAATTATAAGAATTGATGGGGAAAATAAAGAAAGAAATTAGAAGGAAAAAAAGTACCAGAAAGCAGTGGCAGTAGAGAATCCAGAAGCAGAAGCCATTATCACAACCGAAGCAGCTGCAAATCCACACTGCCCTATCCTCAGAAACAGCCCACTCACCGTCCCTGGGCTCCCAAACAGAACCATCTCCCTCTCTCTGCGATTGTGTGTTTATATTTCACCAAGATTGAATCTTTCTTGAGGAGGCGGAGATTGAAAGGAAGAAGAAACGAGATTGTTTCTTCAGATCTTCAGATCACTCCCAAGAAACGATTCTGCAGGGGTTTAGACAGCAGGAATGGCAAAACAGAAACCCTAGAACACCAGATTATGAAGAAACAAGACGAGATTCGTCTCAAAAGTTCAGTCTTGATCGCAATTCTCATTCCGGGTAGAGAGAATCGAATTCAGACAATAGTGCTATGCCCGCTTTGATTTTGCCATTTTCATACGCTTTTTTTTCTTTCATTCCAAACGAGTGAACGACGGACTTTTGATGTTGAACGAGCCAACATAGAAAAACCATTACGGCGAAAGCCCATCACAAAATCAAACACCCAAAGTCCCAAAACAAACTTTTTATTTTCATTTTTTTGTTTTAAAAAAAAACAATTACTCTGTATTTCTTTTAAAAAATATCTTGAATGATTCACATTTTCTTGTTCATAAATTTTAATATAAATTTTATTTTTTATTAAATTTTCACAAAAGTCAAAAACAAAAAAATTTTAACTTGTGACGAGGGAAGTAAAATAGTTTTAGTGCTTGTGTTAATAGGAAAATTGAGAAAAGAAAGTAAAAAGGGGGAAAATTCACAGAAGAGTTCCATTCAAATGACATTGTGTATTAGAGATGACAAGAGGTTGAGTTTGATTCAAATTTAAGCATTTTAAACACAATACAATTTAGTTTTGTGTCTAAGTTTAATTTAAGTAAATTAGAATTAAATATTTTTGGTTTAGATTAAGATAATATTAGATAAAGACCTTGTTTGGTATTAGCTTTAGAGGTTCGCATTAACATTTTGAAAAAATTATTTGACGGTAGTCTTAGTGCTAGTGTTTTTAGAATAAATCTATACCATTTAAATTTTATACAAAACGCTAACGCTAATTGAAAATGTTAATCCCAAACAAAGCCAAAGTTTATATATGTCAAATTTAGATTTAGGTTCCATAAATGCTCCTCTGCCGGATTCAGATTAACTTGGTTGACATCTGACAAGTTAACATAACAAAAAATAAGAAAAAGATTCAACTCCAATAACAAAGGAGTATTTCAGGAACATCATATCATATTTTGGAATAATAATGCTAATATTTTCTTTTGAGAGTATTTTTTGTAAAAGCACTACTTTTTGAAGTATTTGTGTTAACTTACCCCCAAAATATGGGAAAGAAAGAATCAATAGACTCAAAACATTTAAACAATATTCCTTCCCAAATGGTTCATGACAATGAAAAAATCCATATGGAGTAACACTTTAGGCGTTATATTTATTTCTATGTTTGCCGTTAATAGTATGATTACTAAAATCCTTCAAAAAAAAAAGTAAGTAAAATAAAAGTGGGATGCTAGAGAAAACATGACATGAGTAAAGTAGGATAAAATATACTTTTTATCATTTTAATAATGCTAAATTTAGAAGTGTAAAGAATTTAATGGGATGACAAAAAAAAATGAGAAATGTGAAGAATCAAATGGAGGGAGGGAGTAGACACATATCCCATATTGACCTGCTTATAACTTATAAGGGTAAAAATGAATAGAGTATTGATGTTATATCCAAGAAAACGTCTAAAGACCTTGTGGTGGAACGTTATAGTCTCATAAAACTATAACTATGCAATATGCATAACATGAAGTCCTTGCACATGTCACAGAGAGGCAGAGACAATTCACATTTATGGACCCTAACTCAGATTATGAGCATTTTTTATATACAATCCGAATGCAATCGAGTTTGTCACGATTGTGGTGACGAAAATATAAACAAAAGAAATAGACAAGCACTTTGTTTAGACCTCGTAGCAAACACTATTACAATTAATAAGATGTGTAGGAAAATACCGTCTTCAACAAGCAATTGAGACTCCCAAGTGAAGAATCCATAGCTATGCAAACAAGAAAATAGTTCCAACCCCACCTCTAATGGTTACTACTACTATTATTATTATCATTATTCAATAAATGGACACCTTACTGCTGAAGAACTGAAGATGGGAAAAATAAAAGGGGGGGGGGGCTAGGGGAAGAACCACATCTTGATGAAGATTGCCAGACCCATTTGGAGAACAAAAGCAGCAAGCAGCACAAGAGAAAGATCATTCGTCTGTTGTATGTGGCGGTTCTTGAGATTTAATGCAACAAAGGCTGCCGATACACCGCCAGTGACTAGGATGATGAGCCACTTCAGAAACTCCACCGGGATCATCAAGAAAAACTGCATTACACACGAACACACAATTTTTTTACTGAAAAGAAATTGCATATAAAAAATATATAATCAAGAAAAGAAAAATACAGAGGAAAATGATGTGCACTAAAAGAATTTGGATTATGCATCTTGGCAAATATTATGATGAGAATGAACTCTGCATTGGTCCACACTTCAATTTTAGCTAAGTTAATAGTGTTGATAAAATTTCATCATTTGTTTACATCCCTTTGTATCACACTATAAAGACGTCAGTAGGGATTCATTTGGGGCCAGTTTGGATGGGGGGTTTTGGAAGGGTCTGGAAGGAAGGTTTTGGAGAGCCAAATATGTATGGAGTATATAATTGATATTTTCATAACAATTGAGGGAATAACAAAATAGGTGCCAATATAACATTTAAATNAATAGCCCTTTCTTCATTTGTAGAGACATTCTACTTATCAAGATATCAATTAAGCCATTAAAATCTTCCATTCCAAACACACCCCTATGGACAACTAGCCATCTTTTGGGGGGGGGGGGGTCTGTCTTGCGATTGAATATTTAAACAGATACTTCGTAATCATGGTGCCAGTGGCAGATAAGCTTCGGGAAGCTAGGTTGAGGTGGTTCGGTCATGTGAGACGGCGGAATGCGAGAGACTCACGTTGGTAGGGGGAAGTAGGGGAAGAGGTAGACCTAGGAAGAGTTGGAAGAAGGTGATTAGATAGGACTTAGGACTTTTTGCCCTTATTGAGGATATGGCCTTAGATAGGAGCGTTTGGAGGGATAGGATTAGAGTGGCTGGGTAGGTGCCTTGAGCCAGAGGGTGTTGTTGTGTGCCTTGTAGAGTTGTAGGCCTTATATGCTTGGTTCTATTTGCTATTTGCTTGCTATACTTTCGTTTTGTAACTTTACTTTATTTAATTTAGTTTTAATGTTATGTGCTTGGTGCTTTATTTGCATTGTATATGTGCTTTCCTTGCTCTATGTATCTACTGTGTGATCTTTTTGTGTGCAGCTTGAGCCAGAGGTCTCAAGGAACCAGCCTCTCTACTTTCGGGTAGGGGCAAGGTCTACGTACACACAACCTCCCCGGACCCTACTTTGTAAAATCCAACTAGGTTGTTGTTGTTGTATACTTCGTAACCAACGCTCATCTCTATTCCTAATTGTCTTGATTCTGGACAAGCTAAAAATGAGCGTGCATAATATTTTCCATCATATAAACTTTACTCCCAGAGGTCATTATCAAAGGAGTGTGAATAAGGACAAAAATATAATATGATTACCGAAGTTGGAATATAAATGAACAAGGAATATCCCCACAAGCACCAAAACTGTATCAAGCTAGCGTTTGAACCAAGATACTGCAGCAAGAAGTAAAAACCCAGTGGAACAATGAGTGAATACCCATATAGTGAGCTTGCTGCTACATTTACATAGCTGACGTCGAAGGTCCAAGAAGTACTAGTTTCACTCCTTTTGTGCATTACATATGTTGCACAGTTTCCAAAGGAAGAAATTACAAAAACCAATGTGGTTGCGATCCAGATAAGCCCATAACTGAAATGTTAATACAAAGCATTAAAAAACTGTGTATATAATATACTCCATACGTCCCAAAATTAACGAATCGTGCCATGTTGACACAAATATTAAGAAAAAAAACATCTTTATTTTGATCCACTCATTTTGGTAATGTTATTAGTTAAACTTAAGAAAAAACATCTATATTTTGGACTACACATTCTTTAACCATTTTAGAAATGAGGCATTAAAATGAGATGTCCCAAAATGGAAAATGAGACCGTATCTTTGAAAAGGAGAGTATTTAAAGACAAAAATAACAAAAATAAATACTGCAGAGAAGAAAAAAGACAAAAAAAAAGGGAAACAGGTGTATCTACACTTACAGATCAGGGTTAGCATCTATTTTGCTGAAAAAATCTCCACTCATAGGATTTAAAGAGCTCATCAATCTGTTCAAGACTATGTCTGTATCAACATTAAAATATTGGGCATATGATGAGATGCTAAGCACTCCTTTCCACTTGTTTGTTGATTGTTGCTCATCTCCTGCATGAGATATGCAGGCGTAAGCTACATCAGTAGGCTATCATCTATAGGTAGACCTCGCAATCGGGTCAATCGGTCCAGTTCAGGTTAGTTTTGTTTGGTTCTATTTTGGGTATATGTTAAAACTTATTAAGGTTCGGGATTAATTTGGTTGTCTGTGTTTTTTGGTTTGGTTCGGTTCAGATTCGGTTCAAGATGTTATCAACTCGGGTAGATATCAGTTTGGTCAGAAATCGATTTGGAAAGATACTTACTCTATGTTCTGTTAACAATCAATGCAGGAAGCTTCCACAGAATAAGAACAGAGCTTCGAGGATGACTGTTAATGGCGAATCAATTCGCCAAAGAAGAAAATCAGACGAGAGAGATGAGAGGAAGAGAGAGAAAGTGGATTTGTATTATTATCAACTTGATTTACAGATTACAGAATGGGGTATTTATAGGCCTATTACAACAACTCAACAAACTTCAACAACCCAAACAGACTTAACAAACTTCAACAAACGTAACAAACTTCCATCCCTGTAACATGTTCTAATAATGCACTTCTCGTTTTTTACCATATTATTAGTCCCATGTGAGACCAAATAGAGAAACTCATTGCAGGACGGATAGACTCAACAGAATGAAATTGTGGCCAATCCCTACCTTCCGACTGCCGTCATCCCACTATCGAGCAATATCCCCTATAAAACATCTGAAAAGAAATCCCTGTCGTAGCATCCATGATTTGAGTCATGCAATGGTGGCTCATCAAGATGTTTTGTAAAGCATACTGCCATGACAAAACCCATTCCAAAGGTGGGTCCAGCACATCTTTTTCAGTTTTTGTTTTGTTTTGTTTGGGTGGATGAGGGGAGGCTGGGAAAGAACAGAGTCTAGACCCTATTTCTCTTTTTTGAAGAGGCGGGTTCAAACAATATACTTTCACACACAAGTCAGTCCAGCCCTTCTGCAAATTAGACTCAGGAGCCACCCATTCCATACTCAACAGTGAATACTCTAACACCTTTGTTTATAAGTAATAGTCTCACTCACTCCCCCCCCCCCCCACGCCTTTTGCTCTCCCTACCCCGCTTTTAAGTTCCCTTAAATCTACCTCACAACTGATTACATGAAGTAATTTTACTTTCAAAAGATAACATTCGATTTGCTATTACTCCGTGCAATTTAACGTCAAAGTGTTAGCAATAGATAGGACTCAATACACCTTCAAAGAGTAGGCTAAAATACTCCATTTGTACCATATATGTGTGTCCTCTTTTAATTTGAGTTGTTTCAAATTCGTGTTCTTATTTCCTAGTTTGGAAAGGGTCTACTTATTGAAATATAATCTCCCCATTACCTTTTCATTCTCTCTTCTTTATATCTCATCCACCACCACTCCTAAATTTTCCCTCTACTGTTCACTCTTTATCTCTTCTCTATGCCCTACCCACCACTATTACTCTTAAACTTTGTGTCCAATGAAATTGGAACACTAATATTTTTTTTTGACAATATTGGAACACTAATATGAAACAGATGAAGCAACAAAATAAGACCAACAACCGATTATGATTGAACTAGGGTACAAGTATAAAAGTCACACTATGTATCTGGGTCTGTAATTTTGGAAGTCGGTTTAAAGCCATATCTAAGGTATTGTCTCTGGTGTTCGGACCCATAAAATAATCAACTTCATTTCATTCATAATCTTGTACGTGTAGGACGCTTGGGTCTATGATGTATGGAGTTAACACTCTACCAGGTTAACAGTATGAATACTCTCTGTATAATTTTGCCTTTATCCAAGTTCTAGGTAGAGTATTTCTACTGCTAACAAATGACCCGCAAGCCTAAAATTTACACATGGAGCTCCGGTAGTTTCATTGAGGATTGAACTACTTGACCTTGCCACTATTTTATTCAGAAAACTAACTGGACTAAGCATAAGTGATGCATACCACTTGGACCTCCAATGTTTTGATATCCCTGGCCAGCATTCCCACCATTATCTGGAGGAAATATCTGCAAGTTTGCTTCAGGCACTGTAAAGTATTACAGGAAATAGGTTAACAAGTGTCTGTTAGTGGATATAGTTACCACGGTGAAAAAATATATTTCCAGTCCCAACATACCATTGTGTCTACTGTTTGTATTTTGATTATTTTCTTCAGTGATAACAGCCTGTGCGTGCATTTTAAGAATGATCAAAATGTGCAAACAGTAAAGAACCAGTAACCGACCATCTTCTTTTTTTGTTACCCCATCACATATTTAAAAAGCCCCTAACCTACTTTCTATGGAGTAGTATTTAATTTATCAAGAGATATGTAACAAGACAAGCAAGCTACATATCACATTTATTTCATGTATTATATTTGAATTCATACAAGAATTATGGAATTTTTGGAATTCAGAATATATATACGGATGATAATAGAAAACGACCATGAACCCGGGTCATATTAATACAACCATGTGTCATGATACCATATTTGTATATTTTTATAAAATATCAGTCTAGAGTGATTCTACAGATACAATCTATGGAACATAAAGGCAATGATCGCTGAAGATTTCAGAAAAAATTGAAAATATTAACTTTAAAAACTACCCGTGGGCCGTGGCTAGCATTTCCAAACCAATGAAACTAAATCTTAAAGCTAACGCCCTTTGCCAGCAACAATAACGTATTCCGGATTAGACCTCATTCCACTGTTTAATAAAAATTATATTTTTCTAGATGCTTTTCAAATGATAGTTGAACCGAAATGCGACAAATATAGCAGTGACATTTCAAAATCCTTAACTAATTAGACCAAGTTTCCATACTATCTTGATGGCATTTCCTTAAAGTTTAAGCAATCTGGACGAATCATAGCAAATTAAGCATAGGCAGATAATATAGCACGCGAGTCATCTATGATTACATTTAAGTCTACAAAGCGAAGAGTGTTCACCGGAACTGAACCGAGCAGGTGGCTGCTAGGGAGGCTGCTGAAAGAGTCGTCCATCGTGATAGCGGTGGCGGAGATCTGCGAAAGGATGATCGAATGCGCCGATTAGCTGGCTCGCAGAATCATTGTGGGTTTGATTTCCGATTAAGTCGAAGGTATGGAAATGCTCCCTGGAAGATCCCCCAACTTTGTTGAATGCTTGACAGCTTGACGAGGAAGCTCACGGGACGATGAGGGTTTGCGGATAATTTAAATTTAGTGTTTTTTTTTACAAAATTTATTTTTAATCTAATTTATTTGAAAATAAAGACAATTTAAAAATTAAATCCACATATTTAAAAAAGCTACTCTGATATAGGTATAAAAAATTACGGAGTACACTCCTTTTGTTCCAGTATATTTTACAAATTTAATTTTTTCGAATTCAATATGATGAATTTTTGATTATCAATTATTCCCAATTTATATTTGAATTATCACTTTAAGCTAATAAATACTGCATTGTAATTTTATGTAGTTCTTAAAATTGATTGTATAACTAAAATTGATGTGGAATACATATGGAAAATTAATAAATACATATGAAAAGTCTTTATACTTTTTAACTTTTTTTAATTTTTATACCAAATTAAAATGGAATTTTTTTTTTTTAGAAGAATGAAATAATAAAGAGATAATTGCATTAAATTATTTATCCTACATTTAGGATCCATTTGGAAATCAGAAAAATGATTCTTACCTTTCACTTTGGTATAGCATAAGGAAAATGAAAGTCAAATGAAAATAAAGTTTGGTCAATGGAAGTCATCTTCCACTTCCTCCTCTTCGATCAACTCTGTCGTTCATCTTCTCTCAACTTCTTCATCGGATCCGGCCTGCTCGATTTCTCTCTTCTTTGATCCAGGTATGGCTCTTCTATTTTCTATCTTCTCTCTCTTTTCTAATTCTCGCCTCTCCAATTCTCTCTTCTCTATTCTTCTTTTTTGTTTATTTTTTCAGAAAAGTTAAAAATTTTATGTTGAGAATTTAATCATCTACTCCGTATGTTTTATTTTCTTTGCATAATATTGAATTTTAGAATCGGGGAAAAATTAATAATTTTCTTTGAATTTTATTTTGTTCCCGTGATTTTGAAAAATATATAGCATATTGGAAGACAAATATTATTGTTAAAGAAGAGGGTGGAGGTAAGCCATAAGAGCAAATCTGAAAATTTATAGAATATACGTAGTAGGATTTTATATGTATTTAAATTGTTTTGTATTTTTCCGAAGAATCTGATTAATTTTATAGAATATAGGATTTTGTGTTTTTGTATAATCCCTCATTGTAAAATGTTGTGTTTTTGTATAATACCTCATTGTAAAGTGTTTAATTTGCTGCAAATCTGCAATTGCTATTGTTGCTTCTTATGGATCATTTTTAGATCATTTTTGGTTCTTTATCTTTGTATCCTCTTTATCTTTGTAAACCTTAAAGATTGTGAATAATTCTCACTCATTTGGATATTTATGTATAGTAACATGGATAAAGGACACCAGACAATTAAGAAAGTTTCTCCAATGCATTATTTTTGTCAACCATGAAAGTCAAACTAGGAAGAATCAAAGTGGACAAAGGGGTATTCATTTTCTTGATATTCATTTTCTGGAAAATGATTCAAACAGAAATAGATAGTTTTCAGATTTTTTAGCCAAACAACAAAAAAGTAAAATGACTTTAGAAAAATAGCTCATTTTCCAGAAGTTATTTTTCCACAGGTCATTTTCCTGGTTTCCAAATGGACCCCAAAGTTTTACGAGTAATTTTTTTAAGGTTCAGAAAATTATTTCATTAGATTACAGTTTTTCCTGATTCTAACTACTGTATTTCATTACCCGGGCATCTCCAATCGAAAGGTAATTCCTAATATTTGCTGCTTTTTCTCTCCAATCGTCCCCCTCTCCCAATGCAATTTGTGTTACAAAAATGAACACGGTAGAAGTCGAGAACTCCATTGCAATTGCTAGAAACTTTGTGCAATAGTTGGGAGCGCCAAGCTAAATCTGGAGATCTAGACCCGTGAGCGATCATCTTCATCACCAATTGGCCTTTTCTTTCTCCCCTTTTTTCACCTCCCTTGGGTTTTATTGGTATGAGTATTACAGAGCATAATAATTACTTTATTATTATTATTATTATTATTATTATTATTTCGTAGTATTATTTAAATTTGCATGGATACGAAGTAGTGAGAAAAAATAATTTGAAAATATTGTTTTGACTTTTGAGTTTGGTGTAAATGGTTGGAGATGGATTTGGATTTTTACTTTAATGTATTTTGGATGCTTATTTCATTTTGAGTTTGAGTTTAGTGTGGTGTATTGGAGATGTTCTTAGAAGCCGGGGTAAAAGCATTGATATCAGCTGCATCATAGATTGGTTTGCAATATCTAGATTATGACAACAAAAATTGTTGTCAAAAGAACCCGGGCGTTTTTAAAATTATATTTAAGTTGTGGTCAAAGTTAACGTAAAAGTCAAACTAGGACAAATAATTTGGAATGAAGGGAGTAATTTATTTCTTTGATCATTTTTAGGCTGAAATCCAAATTCCTCTTTGATAATTCAGCTGTGTGAGTTTTTTGGTGTATTAATGATTGTGAGTGAATGCAATGCATGTGAATGATTGGCGAAGCTGCTGTAGGTGTAGGTGAATCATCAAAACCAGTTATGTCTCCTTATGATGAAGCAATGAAGGCTTTATTTTCTCTTATAATAAAGCGTAGCCGTGCAGATAGCACCGGTGACAGATTTGATTTACTTTTTGATTATATTAAGGTACAATGCAAATTGGGCTCCCTATTTAATGTTCCCCTTATTTGCATATGGTAATTATGGTTTAAGGAAAACAATTTTGGTTGAGATTTATTTAGAAATGAAAGGATAATTGGGTACAATCCAGAGAGGAAAAAGGTAGGATGAAAAGGGGACTCAGTGAGTATGAAAAAATATTGGTTGGCTGAAGGTATCAAGTACTTACACGTTTCCTTTTGTTAATAAACTACAGATACTGGAATTGGAGGAACCATTAAAAAAGATGAAGGTTATCCATGTCACTGGTACCAAGGGAAAGGTAACAACTTCACCGTTTATAAGTTTAATTAAAACTTGAAAGTTGGAAGCCTTACTATTTCAACAATGAGATCTAGATGTGTGCAGCCTTACCCCCTGTAAAAATAGAGGCTGGTTCCGTTAGATCCTGGATGCGTTTTTACCTTTATTGCTGAACACTTCATAGAAAGTAAGAAGTAACCTTAATGTGGAATTATTATTTATTCTATTATTTACCCAAAGATAAAACATTGTCAATAAAGACTCTGTTTAGTTCCACTGGCAGTGGGCACAACACTTTATTGTTCCAATTTATGAAATGAATTCATTTAAGGAAATTTTATTAATTTTAGCATCGAGTTTTGGTATATATTCTACATTATTTTAACATGCTACTGCCTTATAAATTCGTTTCAATTTATGCTTGATTATGTGAGGTGTCTTTATTGTAGCTTCAATGATATTTCTATTGTAGTTCTACTTGTATTGTGTGCTGCTTGTTACTCATTATTTACTTCTCATACCATTAATTGTGAGTAAATATTCACAACCTTGTTACTCTGTATTTGCTTGTTTATCATTGCTGTATTATTCATTCTTTTTTTTGTCGTGTGATGAAGGGGTCAACTTGCACTTTCTCAGAATCTATATTACATAGTTGTGGTTTCCACACCGGGCTTTTTACATCTCCTCATCTCATTGATGTTAGAGAAAGATTTCAATTAGATGGGTAAGTGTAACTGTCTTGCCATTATGTAAATAATACAGTACTGTTTTGTGAAATCAGTAGAAATCAGATGTTTGGCTATTAGTTATCTGATCCCCATGTATTGACTTGTTTTTCATTTTATCATTGAGATCTACTTTTGTTGCATGATATCCTTTTGGAGAGGGTTGTAATTGCTACATGCGCTGTCTGTTGTGGTGAAATGGTTTATTCAATTGAACTATACTTCACAACTGAAATTATATTGAATTTCTTCTCCAAATGGGAGGTGATAGCAATGGTTAGAGAATATGATTTATGAGTCAGCATCTCCTTTTCCCTTATAATGTTCATCAAATGTTCAGTGGTCACAATGTCTTGAATGCTCTCTTAACTCTTCTGCTGTCCCTTGGTTCTTTCAGGGCAGACATTAGTGAAGAAAAGTTTTTGACTTATTTCTGGTGGTGCTACAATAGACTCAAGGCATGTAAGATAGTGTATGGGTTATTCATCCGTTATAGTTGTTCTATATGTCCACTTATCATCTGTGTGGTTTGAAGGGAGGGGAAATCTCCTCCAATTTTGAGGAATAAAAATAAAGAGAGAGGAGGGAAGAAAGAAATAATTTGCATGAATTCCCAAGAGACCAAGACAGTTATTAAATGCGGAGTATGCATGAATTCCCAGACAGCTGTTTTTACCTCATAGAATGGTAGAAGTATGGAATTGTCAGTAGGTCCAGTTTTTTAAAGGTCATTTCTTCCTGCTTACTGTTAGCACTACCCATGGATACACAAAAGTAACTTTTAGGATTAAAGAATTTGAACTAAGAGTAGATTCATTTGGTTCTTGTTGCCTCTTGATAGTCTCTAGGAATGATATCAAAGCTAGGAATTTGTTTCTTGATCTTTTTACTTGCTACTTGAGGATGAAAAACTAAGTTCATTTTGTTGACATTTCCATCTCTTGGATTTATAAAATGTTTGCAGCAATGCATTTGTGTCTTGACCACTTCATCTGTACAAATGATGAAAAGGGAAGATTGTCTTGAGTGGTTGAGCGACTTGGAAGACTACACATTTTTTCATCCTATACTTTTATCATCAAACACAGTTGTAGTTGGTTTCACTATTTTTTGTTTGCAGGATAATACCTCTGACAAGGTACCAATGCCTACTTATTTTCGCTTCCTTGCATTGCTTGCATTCAAGATTTTTTCTGCAGAGCAGGTATCACCTAGCATGTCACTAGTACAAGTAGCATTACACATTTACAGTCACTGTATCAGTTCATAATAGCATAATTGAGGTGTTCATAACTAGTGGCCTCGGTGATACCATGGTGGATTTTGAGGCAATTATCGCACACAATTTGTGAAGTGCCATCTGCTGTGGTATGCCATAGGGATGCAACTCCATGTTTGTGGTGGAATTTTAGTCATCTACCATATGTTATTCACTCACGGCTTAACATACACAAAAACAACAACCCAGTTGGATCCCACAAAAGTAGGGTCTGGGGAGGGTGTGTGACCTTGCCCCTACCCGAAAGTAGAGAGGCTGTTCACTCATTGCTTAGTATGGAATCTTTTAAACTGGATTATATGTAACTGTGCAGGTGGATGTTGCTATATTGGAAGTTGGCTTAGGTGGAATATATGATGCAACTAATGTGGTAGGTAATTGAAATTAATACATTTTTTTAAAAGTAACATGTTTGGTCTGGAAATTGTCAGCTTTGCTGGACTTTTGAGATATTAATGTTTTTTGTTGCCTTTTAGGTTGAGAAGCCAGTTGTTTGTGGTATAACTTCCATTGGGTATGATCATATGGAAATTTTAGGTTAGTGCTTCTTCTTTATTCCTACCAGGCAACAACCTGCTGTATTTTATTTCTGTTTTCTCTTTTTTTGCCCTTGGGTTTCTTCTAATATAAGTTGGGCCTGCGCAAAGTCATCTGCTTAAGTTTAGCCACTTGTTTATCACTATCATCATCATCACTAATCACTATCACAACCTTAATCCAAACTTTTTGGCATCAAGTCATCAACAACAACAAACCAAGAACAACCGCAACTCCGTTGGCCCGTTGGGGTCTTCACGGTCAGGATGTACGCCACCCCTTGTAAAAAATTGAGAGACTCTCTCCTAGACACTTGATGCATTTACTGCCCAACATGCCAACACTTAATAGAAAGTGAAAAGCAAAGGAAGTTTAATGTGCCATCTCAATTTAGGCCATCATTTACCCGAAGGCTAAAGCTAAAACATTGTAAAAATTGTCTCTATTAGCTCCATTGGTAATCAACGAGGCAGTTGTGGAACTAAATTTATGGGGCCAGTTGATCGTATAAAAATAATAAACATTAATTTTACGCTGGTTACCCTTCCTGTATCAACCTTCATTAGAAGGATTAATGAAATGAAAAATTCCTGGCCCATCATCATCTTAGGTTATTTCCATTTGCATTTAATTATCATAAGGCAGAGATGAGTTGACATATTTTTCTATCATGATGCCCATTCCATGATGAATTAGCTTTGCCAAGTTATTGTGTTTGAAATTTCTGATAAGGAACCATACTTACAAGAGTGAGTGCCTACTGGAGACACCTGAAATCTATGATTGCATTCAAGCACTTCTAAATGGATCTTCTATTTGTATTGGCCGTGATAGCATTTGTTGTTAATCAAATCTATACTTTATTTTTGAACTGAACTTTTTTATACTCCGTATTAGTTATATATAAATTCTAAAGTACTGAATCTTATGAAGTGCCTTCAAAGACTATGCAGGAACCAAACTTGCAATTATGCTTTTATTATCGGTTTCAATTGTTGTTTATTATTTACAAATTGAATGTGTGACCTTTTTTGGTGTATTAATTGTGTGAAAAGGTTGGTTTGTGGTACATTCTAATAAATTCCTTTGGACTATCAATTGAGTGAATACATAGTGATTAGTGGATGTGTTATAACATGACAACTGCTTTAACATAATACATACATTTTAAAAATAGAGTCATATTACATACTCAATATCTGTTTGGTTGGTATCGACTTTTAAGAGGGTGAGATTTGGCACAACGGATGCTCCTTAGGTGACCAAAAGGTCAAGTTCAAACCACCATCAAAATAGTTTTTTGGTCAAAACTGTTAGGGGGAGGCTGCATGTGGTCAAGTTCATACCTTTGTGGTCTTCCCTTTACCCCGTGATGTGGGGAGTGTCTGGCACAGCCCGGTTGGGCCTTTTCCCTTGGTTTCCACTTGAACAAAGTCCTTACATAATAGTCTTGCCCGAGTGGCAAATTGAAACTATTGACCACAATTTCAGTGTGTTTTCCTGTTTATAATTCTGGTCAAAAGCTTGCAGCTGCCCCTAAAATTTGCAGTTGCCTCACTGTCTGACATCTATTTTTTCCTAGCAGGAAATACACTTGGGCAAATTGCTAGAGAGAAAGCTGGAATCTTCAAGGTTCCTAAGAAAAGAAATCATAAATACTCCTCCGTCTCACTGTATTTGTCTACTTTTCCTTTTTTGGGGTCCACTATTTTTGCCCACTTTCTATTTCTGGTAAGTTATTGAGCTTCAAATGACCAATTTGCCCAAACTCAAAACCCTTTACTCGGCTGAGAAATTTAATCTGCGGTTGAGCTTTTTCTCACTACCAACCAAATTCACTCCTGTTATGCCATTTTCTCTCCGAATGCAGGTGATGGTTGAGATCTGCATTCGAAAATCTCTGCTCTACACAAGAATCCATAGCCAAAAGTATCCCTATATACAATTTTACCATCGTTAACCCGTATCCAAAACCAATAGTCAAAACAATGATTTTACCATTGATTCTTCTATAATCGACAATCATGTATCCAAAACTTAGTTTGTCGTTATTGCATCTTGACCACTGCTGCAAGAGACACAGATCTGTAGGCATTGCTTCTAAGATCGCTGGCGATAGATCCGCGTTGTGGCTTCTTGATCTGTGACATTGCTTCTGAGATGCTAGAGATGGGTTTGCCGCTTTCACTTCTTGATCTCTACCGTCGCTTCTTGATCTCCACCGTCCTTTTCAAAGATTTTTCTCACCCACACCAAACATGAATAGTAAGATGTACTCCGTATTTTTCAGGAATGAACCCGTCTATAGCCCGCTTAGGCTAAATGGCAGTTTGTAACTTCCCTCGTTAATTCTCTCCTCCTTGGTTCAAGAGCCAAACCGAAAGTGGATGAAAACACTGGGACAAAGGGCATATTCTTTTATAGTTTCTACCTATTGTAGCTTTTTTCTGAAAATTTTACTTCTATTTTTATTTTGTTTATTGCATTATTCTGGACCGGAACTGTTTCTCTTATAATGCAGCGTGGAGTTCCAGCTTTTACCGCGTCCCAGCCTGATGAAGCTATGCATGTGCTTAAAGAGAAGGCTTCCGAGTTAGATGTAAGCTTAGATTCTTTTAATCGCTTACAGTGCTAGACCACAGTCTCTCAAAAGTTTTTTGTTTTTTGTTTTAACTTAAAAATGCAGTGCTAAAATTACTGTTACCCATGTAATTATTTGATGCAATCTTTTTCCAACTTAAAATCATTTTTACTTATGGCGATGTAAACAAACTAGAATCTCCTATTTGCAGGTAGTTCTTGAAGTGGCAGCCCCACTGGATGCCAGTTTACATAGAGGAATTCATCTTGGTCTTAGGGGTGAACACCAATATACAAATGCTGGTCTAGCTGTGGCATTATGCTCTACTTGGCTTCAGAGAACTGGTCATGCTGAAGTTGATTATTTAAAGGACACAGTGAGTTTCAAAAGTTTTTTCCCCTCTTGTTGTGCTCACCTCTTGTCGTTAGTTTTGTTCTTTATAAACAGGCATACACATCTCTGCACGATCAGCTTAAGAAATGTTGATCCTTCTTTTCAGGGCTTGTTTTTTTAAAATGACTTATTTGTGGTTTTTGTGTGGATACAGGCATCTCTGCCCGAGCAATTTCTGGCAGGATTGGCAAATGCTACTTTACAAGGAAGGGCTCAAATTGAACCCGATAGAGTAATAGAAAGTGAAAGTGCAGGGGATCTTGTTTTCTACTTGGATGGTGCTCATAGTCCTGAAAGCATGGATGTGTGCGGTAAATGGTTTTCCCTTGCTATCAAGGATGACCACTGGCAACACAGTTGTAAAAATGAGGCACACCAGACTAGAGCCTCTCATGAATCACCACAGATAGACAATTTCCAGAAGCCAAAGAAAATTTCTACACAGGTATAATATTGCAGTGTATTACCAAGAGGTAACCCTTATGTCCTTACGTTTGGGTATTCCTCAAAATAACCATCGTTCATCCATGCCTCTTAATATAATGCCTGAGGTTTGCATGACATTTATGTCATGGGTAATTAGTCTATCTCATGAGTTATGAGTGAGTGTGGGTCTGCCAACAACAACAACAACCCAGGTGAATCCCACAATAGTAGGGTCTGGGGAGGGTGTGTGTACGCAGACCTTGCCAACTACATGTTTAATAATTCATTGTCCCTCCATCAACAAGTCTTTTATCATACCTCAAAATTATATTAGGAAACATACTGTGTATATCAAATGGTCATTCCTTAAATATGCTCTTAACCATAGGGTTGCATCACCAACTTTCTATCTTATAGCGTACTTCATAGTTATTTTAAGAAGTATCCATATGAGAGGATCATTTAAAGAAATATCTTAAGCCCAAGGCTTACCTCAGGAAATTCCCATATATTATGCTTAGCCTTTAATTAAAACTAGTATTTCACCCGTGCGTTGCACGAGAAAATGTAATTTCTATAATTTGAGATTAATATATAAAGAAGTTATATATTATTTTGAAATTTTAAAATAAAGAATATCACTAGTATTAATGAATGCATCCTTTTCTTTGCCTTATCAACTAATACCTTTTTTGTATAATTCCAACTACAGGAACTGATGCCTTGATTTCTTTTGTTTCATAAGTTGATGTTTATCAATTAAGGCCACATTTTTTTAAAAGAAAAAAATATTGCTTTTGTCAACTGTCATGCTCTCCTATAAATGCTTTCAAACTAAAAATCATGGTAAATGCAGATTCTGTTATTTAATTGCATGTCGGTGAGGGATCCTCAACTGCTCCTTCCACGCCTGATGAGTGCTTGTGCAATGCATGGTGAATATTTGAATAGAGCTTTTTACTTTAAGTTTATGTTTTCTTGGTCAACTTAAGGGCCTTGGATAAGGCTTTTTCAATTTAAAATTTTTAACTGTAAACGTTTCTTAGACAAAACAAACTGCCTCTTTTCTAGCCTTGAAATCTCGTTTTCATCTGCCTAATGTTGAGTCTAACAAGCATATCATCAGTTTGATAGTCAACAAATCTTGGTTTAATTGTTGAACCACTGATGCAATTTTTGCTCGGTGTCTTTCATTTGTAATGGTTTGCTACTTTATCACATAAAAAGACATAAGTCTTAGCATTTTCAATTTGGATGCAACTCCAATTGTTTCATTTGGCTTTTGTTTTTTAGGAGTTCACTTTAAGAAGGCATTGTTTGTTCCCAACACATCATCATCCTTTTACAATGTGGGTACCAGCTCCTTGAACCCATCAGATAATCAAATTGATGTCTCCTGGCAGTTGAATCTTCAAAGGTTCTGGGAAAACCTTATTACTGAGAAAGGTATGCATCCTTTTATATGTACAAACTCAAGATATACATAGTTTAAAAAAATGAATGAATCGATTACTTGAATGTATATTTAGGCAATTTCATTTTGTTGATAAAAGTTCATGTGTTCTGCATTACTATTGGATTCAGTCAATGTAATGGGCAGCACAAATAAAATGAGGTATAAGATGGTCAAGCGACACTAAGGGCATGTTTGATTCATTATTTGGAAGTGTTAGGAATCAAGAATGAGATTTTAGATTGTAAAGAGTTAGGTAGCATAGATGATATCACATGTTTGGTTTGTATTTTGAAATCAAACTAGGGATTTGTTCTTCCAATTTCCCCTTTTTTCTTGTGATCATTCTGCCACAGCCTCTTAGTAGAAGAATCCCCCCCCCTCCCTTTCAATCGCAAATAATCCATGTGGCTAAGTACCCAGATTAGCACCCCCATCATAGCCATCCTAGCTGGATAAGAAACCCATTTCTTTAGTGAGTTGGCGGGAGCAGAAATGTTGCCCCCGCCCCCCGCGTTTCTAGTGAGGTGAATAGACAATGCTATAAAAAAAAGATTGAATCCAACCAATTAACTAGTTCAACTCAATATCTTATTACCTCCTCATTCTCTTTTTTTTATAATATAAATATTCTGCGGTAATACTTTTATATGGATGACTTATGCTATAAGTGCGTTCTCTTTTAAGGTGTTTCCTCTCCAAAAAAACTTCAAACCAATGTTTTTCTAGATAAGCTAAAAAAAGTGTTTCTGAGAACTACTGTTTTTCCAGTTCTGTGCCGAACCTTTGTTTTCTGTTTATAAAAACACTTTTCATGTAAAAAGCAGTGATTATTTTGAAATAAATCATTATTTTGAAATAAATCACATTCCATTTTCCAAAAGCACTCTGAACATAGATATGTGCGAAGAACCTGCCACGCGAGCCCCACATTTGTATGGTCCTCTCCATGTGTGGGAGGATTGTCCTCTCCATAGAAAAACCTGTGGTGCTATGCTATGGTGAATAACAAACTGATTGACTATTTGAGTCATTGGCCATTTACTCACAGGCAGGGAAATGGTGAAACACGTGGATAAAAAATGTGAGGAAGGGATAGATGATACACTCAAAGGAGCTCGAAGTTGTGAAAACAGCACTGTATTCCCATCACTTCCGGTCGCAATTGATTGGCTCAGGGATAATGTTCGAAACAACAAGTCTGTTCGCTTTCAGGTACACATTTCCTTGTCGTTTTACAAGTTCTTATAAGCCAAAGGTTTTTGATTAGACATAATCATTGGAGATTTTAGTCTCCATCTGGCACCCTGGCTTATTATATTGCTTATTATTATCAGAAAAACTGACTTTCAACTTATCTTAAATGAATGTTACCCAACACTTATTCTTTCATAAAATTCAGCAGATTAAGCCATAACGGGCTTAGTTAGTAAAATATGACATCCTTATAATACTTACGATCCGATATATAATAAAACCACCTACTTTAAATTAGTTTTTTGGGGAGAAATATGCATTCATGCTTATTGAATGGGTTTTAAATATGTAACTGCACATTATACATGTATCTGTGTATAATACCTGATTTAATTAGCTAGGATAATCGGTCCTTGGTGTTTCGAAACACGATTCATCAATTTATCTTTAAAATATATGCAGGTCCTCGTAACAGGCTCTCTACACTTGGTGGGTGATGTTCTGAAATTAATAAAGAAATAAGGTTCTATACATTCAAGGTTTGGTTTTTTATATATATTTATTTTGCAACAGTCCATAAATAATATGCAAATTCTGAAAGGCAAAAAAATGCTTCTTGTGCAATATAGGCATTTCATTTTTATCTCATTTGAGACTGAAATTTGGAGGATTTCCAAGATACTTGTTGGTTATATGATTAGTTACTCCGTCAAGTAATTCGATTGGGCTTTTATTTGGACATTGTTTTGTCCAGACAGTGAGATATATGCATAATGTGTGGTTTGGTAACATTGTTATGTCTTAATTACTCATACTAATCACTAAGTTATGAGTTTCACCCAAAAAAAAGTCAAAATAAATCTCCATGGGCCAACTTAATTTCTCATTGTAAATGGATCACACCCTTGAAATACTTAACACTACGTTTGGTTTAAAGAATTTCGAAAGAAAAGACAATACAAAAATGATTCTCTCTTTTTTTTACCAAAATGGAAGAAATTTGATTCTCTCTTAGTACAATTTTCTTTTGCATTTTCATTTCCTTCTATTTTTTTCTTTTGAAAAAATACTCATTCCATCTTTAAATTATCTTCTGGTTAGAACTCACAAAGTTAAATGTTATACATTTTGTTCATCTATTTTTGTTGCCAATTTGATACAAAGTAAAATATTGTAGTGATGTGATTTTTAGTTTTGTTTTGCACATCTCTAGGGAACACTCACATATGAGGAGCTGAATATTTATTGCCGAGCAAATTTTCATTTTCGAATAACTGAGTGTATAATTTTGTAAAATTAATTTATGCTTGAAAAATGAGTACTCAGTTACTCAAAAAATTATTCATGATGAAAAAAATTTATAACAAAAACTTGATGTATATTATAAGTACTCCAATCTTTTATTCCTTCTTTAAAGCCTTTTTAGAGTAAAAAATGAAAAAAGGAGAATATCACAGCACAACTTGGTCGCCCGCAGTTGAGTAACTGTCGACAGCAAAATTAAAAAGAAAATGGCGCANCCCCCCCCCCCCCCAAAAAAAATTAAATAGTGAAATTATAAGACTAAAACATAATGACTTTCTTAATTTAAAACTTAAACTTTTTTATTTCCTAAATAGGATTTATTAATGTCTTAGTGAGAGAAATAATGTCCAAAAATGATGGACATTTACTTGAATAATGATTAATTCATAATGACCAAAAGTCTCAACTCTTATTTTGTACATATTAAGACAGTTTTTAAATGCATAAATTTTATTTTTTGAATTCCACACCAGTTTCAAATAAATTACGTTGAAAATAATTTTAGTCAAATTTCATAAATAAATCTTACTCCGGGGTATGATTTAAATTAGGGCGAAGAGAATATATTCCAAGCCCAACTTATGCAACACTATACTCTATACGAGTATTATTTTCCCAATGTACTTCTGCTCTTGGGTACCCCATATTTTGAAAAACTAACTATTGGGTACCTCATATTTTCAAAATATACTCCGAGGTACCTTCTATTTTGAGAAATTAACTATCAGGTACCTCACATTTTTAAAATATACTACGAAGTACCCTCTATTTTGAGAAACTAACTATCAGGTATCTCAGATTTTTAAAAATATACTCTATGATACCTCCACATATACATTAATTTTACGCTATTAATTTTAAGAAATAAGGGTTTGAAATTTTAAAAAGATCTTGGTTACTCTTAACATTCCAAACCCCTATTTTTTAAAAATTAATGGTGTAAAATTAATGTATATTTGGAGGTATCATAGAGTATATTTTAAAAATGTAAGATACCCGATAGTTAATTTCTCAAAATAGAGGGTACCTCAGAGTATATTTTAAAAATGCGAGGTACCCAATAGTTAGTTTCTCAAAATAGAAGGTACCTCGGAGTATATTTTAAAAATATGAGATATCTGGGAGTTAGTTTCTCAAAATATGGGGTACTCAAGAGCAGTTTTCTCTTGACTTTAACATAATTTAAGGAACTATTTTTGGATCCTCGATCCATCACCCCCCCCCCCCTTGTATTTTATAGTGGTGGGTAGGTCGTGGGCAGAACGCGTGGTAATACCATAAGTTGTACAAAAAATAAACATCCAAAATTCAAATATTAAAATGAAAGAACAAATTCTTATTACATCTTAAATATATAAATTTTATTTTTAAATTTTATTCTAATAGTTAAATAAACTAAAAATAAATAAAACTAAACATCATATTTCTAAAATACTCGGTATAAAGATTATTGGGTGAGAAAGGGAGCATTAAACTATTAAATACGGAGTATTATAGTCAAATTAAGATCTCTAGGAATCAGGGCCTATAATCAAGTTGTTCGAGAACTAAGTACTTTTTGTAGAATCTCCATTATTTAAAAAGAAAAAAAGAAAATCTTGCTGGGAGCAATTGCTTGTTCTTGAAGATTTCTTTGAAAATATGACAGTTATTTTAGAACTAAAGTGAAAAAAAATCAAGTCAATGGTAGAATATAATCAGATTTTGTAAGTTTAAAGGCTAAAAAAAAGTCAACGACGGAGACCGGCAAGAAAGAAAAAGGAGCGGGCCAGTTTTGTAAATAGAAGGAACCTGAAGGGCCACGTGGAAGGAAAACTCCATCTTTGCTTTTCCCCGGCAACTTTCTTGTGGGAAATTCGAACGAGAAAGAACAGTTACGAAGAAATTCTCAGATTCTTGAATTTCCCCTTTCTCTCTCTTCCCCAAAAAGCCCCAAATTTTAAGCCGTCCAAAACCCACTCTGCAGTCTCACCTTTTTACATCCCAAACCTAATCAGCAGATTCCCCAATTCATCTTCTCCCTCACAAGCCAAGAATCTCTTTCCCCTACCAGAGATTCTCTTTCCATCTCCAAAAGCTTATTAATGATGCCCTTCTCCATTTCTTCCATCTCTTCTCTTTCTGGGTCTCTGTCATCTATTGGCTATTTTCATTCTTGGCCCCCTTACAAGCTATGTCTTCTTCTTCTTCTTCAACCACTGTCAACCATCTTTCCCAGCCTTGCATTTATGGTAATGTTTGGGTTCAGAGTTTGAATCTTTTTGCTGTTTGGGGTGTACCCTTTTTCATAGCGGTGATTCGGTGGCGTTCTTGATTGTGTAAAGATTGGATTTTTTTCTTTTTTCGGCGTTTTTATTCATGCAGGTGATGTTGTTTCTACATACTCGGAGAGAAAATCGAGCTTTATGAAGTGGTTGTGTAAGATTTTCAAGGGTGGTTCAAGTAGTGGCAGGAGCAGGAGAAGTGGGCAGCCATCTCTGATTACAGGAGATGAAAGTTCTGTTTTGTGCTCTCCTGTTAGATCATTGGTAAATGTTGCATTTTCTGTTTGGCTTCCAGTTTAATGCTTGGTGTTCTTTTCTTTCAATCTTGGGCATGGCTGATGTCATAAATCTGTTTGGGACGTTTCTTGATTGGCTTTATCTCATTTAGGGCATGTATGGGTCACAGAAAATATTGGGGACGAGAAAGAAATGTTAAGGGAAAAATAAAATATGCTTAAATTTCACACTTTTTTTCTAGTCCATGTAGCCGACCCACCTAGTGGGATAAGGCTTTGTTGTTGTTCTTGTCTTTTTCTAGTCCGATTCAAATAAACTTGACACTTCGTCTTTTTTGCTTTTAATGAAAAGGATACATGGCCTACATTATTTCACTCTCTCCTAAACAAATTTCAGTCACATACTTTTCAACATTTTTTTAAACTAAGTGACGTCAAAATGTAAAGTTTATTTTGAAATCAAAGGCGTAAATAAAATGAGTTTGATGAAATTTACAAAATAAGTTTCTTGAGCTCGGGATTAGCTATTATTTCATCCAAATAGACTCTTAACAACTAGTTAGAGTGGATAGTAGTTAAAAGTTATCTACTTTAATTCATGTTGTAGGATGATTGCTCTAGAACCAGTAAAGATAAAGAGGAGATGGGCCGTGCTGTGGCACGGCCTCTACCCCAAGATTTGAAGAGACCAAATGGTACACATTTCTCCTTTATCTTTAGGGTTAGTATTCGTCTCTTTGTCTTATGTATAGTCCTATTGAAAAGTTGAGTTGCTTGATTGTCATCAGGATACAGATGGAAAGACAATGATGACCACTTAAGGTCACTTCATGATGGCCTTAATTCCTCATCACGTCCCCCGTATGCTCCTCCTTATGCTGCCCCAAGGGACTATCATCCAAGGGGTTATAGGTAATTTCAACACATATTGCAAGCTTTTTATGGTGCTACTTGCTAGAGCATCTTTTTGTTTTCTTAAATACAATGGAAGAAGCTAGATTGAGGTGTGTTTAGGCAGGACTTACAAGATATGATCATAAATAAGAACATTATATGATCATAGATATGAACATTTGGAGATCTAGGATTAGAGTAGTTGGGTAGACCTTTGAGCCTTGTTTCATAGTTTATGCTGGTTTGCTCTTAGCCTTAGTGCTTTTTGTGGGATTTTACTAGGGTTGTTTTGTTATTGTTAACGGCGATCCTTTTGTGTTTTGCAGAGTGTGTGGTGGTTGCCACCGGGAAATTGGCCATGGCAACTACTTGGGATGCGTTGGGACTTACTTTCACCCCGAATGCTTTCGTTGTCATGCCTGCGGTTATCCCATCACAGAAAATGAGGTAATCTGTTTACAAGATTATTTGAAGTGTTGTTAGTTTTTTGGCAAAAGGCAACAATATGCTTGTGAAACTATGATGTTTTCCCATGTTTTGATCACTTATCAGTTTCCTTTTGTGTATTCAAGTTCTCTCTGTCAGAGAAGAAGACATACCATAAGTTGTGCTTCAAAGAACTCTCACATCCTAAATGTGAAGTCTGTCATCGATTCGTAAGAAAACACTTCCTCTGTGTTTTTTGTGTGTTAGAAATTTGAACATAATCCAAATTATGATCACAATTTACCTATGTTTCTTAATAGTTGTGATCTGAATTGCCAATCTCAGATCCCAATTAACAATGCTGGTTTGATAGAGTATCGGTGCCACCCGTTTTGGTCTCAGAAATATTGCCCTTCACATGAATATGATCTCACTGCTCGCTGCTGCAGCTGCGAACGTTTTGAAGTATGATTGAACCTGAATTCTCTTAGGGTCTGTTTGGATGGAGGGGTTTGGATAGAAATGTTATACCATCACATATTTCGTCAAACTTCCAAATTCTATTAAAATCTTGAAAAAAATTGTGGTTTTTATTACTATTATTGATGTCTCTAACTGTTTTTTTCGCGCAAGTCGCGGGATGCAAAATATATATCACTTGGAGATGGAAGGAGCTTATGTATGGAGTGTATGGAGTCTGCAATCATGGATACTGGGGACTGCCAACCACTTTACCATGCCATTAGAGATTACTATGAAGGCATGAACATGAAGATTGATCAGCAAGTCCCAATGCTTCTTGTTGAAAGACAGGCCCTTAATGAAGCTATAGAAGGGGAGAAAAAGGTTCATGCCATCTTCTCTTTCTTCTCCTTCCTGTTTTTTGGCTCTTCTTTTTCTCTGGATTTTTTTTTAATTCTGGGGAAAAAAATATATATAGGGGTTCCATCACTTGCCTGAAACCAGGGGTCTATGCCTATCCGAGGAGCAGACTGTTACCAGTGTATGAGATCACTTCACTCTTCTATTTCTTCATTTTTGTTTCCCTCGACAAGTGATTTTTTTCTCCTTTTTATACTTTACATTTAGGTACAAAAAGGGCCAAGAATGGGAGGTCGCGGTCTAGTAGGAATGAGAAAGCAGCCTCAGAGGCTAACCCGAAAAAGTGAGGTTACGGCTATCTTAGTCCTATATGGTCTCCCAAGGTAATTTTTTGGAGTAATTTTCACTGCTTACACAGAATGCCCTCTATTACCCCCTCTATTACCCTTCATGGTGCAGATTACTTACTGGAGCCATTCTAGCACACGAATTGATGCACGCATGGCTTCGCCTTAAAGGTAAGAAATCACATCAAGACTGTCACTCTGATTTAGGAATGTTAGATTGCAGGGGATGGATGTGTTTGTTTAAAATTATTGGAATGTCAATGCACTTGTTTGGTTGGAGGTACTGTCACACTAAAATACAACAAACCAAATGGCACCTAACTCTTCGATTTGTATATCCTAATTCCTACTAAGTTCATATCAAGAAAAAGGAAGAACTTGATGAGGATAACACATACCGGAGTAATAATTATTATCAAATCTGCAGGTTATCGCAACCTGAAAACTGAAGTGGAGGAAGGAATATGCCAAGTGATGTCTCACATGTGGCTTGAGTCAGAGGTGATGCCTGGTCTTAGAAACTCAATGCCATCGACTTCTTCAACAGCTTCATCCTCCTCCTCATCAACATCGTCCAAGAAAGGTAGAAAGTCTGTGTCTGAGAACAAACTGGGAGAGTTCTTTATGCATCAGATAGCTCACGATACCTCCTCTGCATACGGAGAAGGATTCAGAATGGCTAATAAAGCTGTGAATAAGTATGGTTTGTGGCGTACCTTGAATCACATATATCTCACCGGGAATTTCCCTTGAGATATATACCAAACAGCAGTCAATTCTTCTTCCTCTTCTGGACTGAGTTATAATCATGTGTTAAAAGGCCAGATTTGCTCCCCCCGTGTTTTTTCTGGGGTCCTTCGAGGAATGATGCAGACTTTATCTATATATTCATCCCTACCATTACTAAAAAAAAGTCTTGTATAAGGGAATGACACATTCAACAATAAATAAAAATGGCTTTGTTTTCGGCATTGGACTTGTGAGTGAGTGTAAAGTGCATTGATGCAAATGATTGTACATGCAACAATTCTGTTAAGCAAAGATCAAATATACTACGGAGTATAATCTTTGAAGCAAGTTCCCATTCTAAAATTGCATGAAAAAGAATAAATGCAATAGCACTTGTCAAAGAATGTAAATGGTACAACAGTAACCCTACATCTTTAGAAAGTGAAGAACAATGCCTTTGAAAAAAGAAGTGAAGAACAATGCCTTGCACATTTAAGGCATCATCAATAGTGTGTTTCTCTAGATACTTTACATGCAATAATAAGCTTTTCTTAAAAGCAATTTCAAATTCAGCAAAAAATTGGCTCGTGAGATGGATTCCGAGATCGTGATGTGTAAAAATAATATTCCCCTGCCCCTTCCCTGGCTTTCTATATAACCAGAGGCATATCATCTTCGTGTTTTCTGATAAATGAGCGTCTTTGTCATGTGGATGTATTTGAGAGAAATTGCTTCACTTTTTCCAAAGATGTGTTAGAAAGTATCTGCTTCACTTTCTCATATGTCATGAACACAATGCCAATGCTGGGAGCAACTTTGTAATATTCAGGAAGAATTCCTCTGTATAAACCGTGTATCCCTTCTGATTTGATTATGTGTCGAAATGTACCCAAGAGACCGCTCTTGTAAACACGAGCTCGCCCACCAGCCCCTTCCAACTGCATCCGTCTCCTTACTAGATCTAGGGGGAATGTCACTGTACACAAAGCAGGAAATCAATGAAATCAAGTCTCAAGAAGCAATTTGATCCATTAGCAATTTAGCATGCAAGCAAAACAGGGAAATAGATGATATCTGTGTGCCCAACACAATTTTTTTCTAGTATGAATGTAGTATCTCCACCCAAAAAAACTGATACATAATAGTCGTCTCATAAAAGCTTATGAGCCAAACCCTTTCACCTTATCCAGAATTCAGCAGAACATAGAACAAAGACAAAAGAAAAGAAAACGTAATGTTATTAGACAGGTGGATTCAAGTCATTTCTCAGGGAAAGATGTTTCAGTTCACGACATCCATTCGATCAATTTCCTTCTTTTTAATTCTCAGTAACAGTCATTTCTTTCATTTGGGAGATACACCAAAGGCGGTGTGATTGTGCTGACTAAGTTCTTATTCTTGCATCAATACAAGGTCAGCCACAAAAAAAACTTGTGAGGTTTGGGTGTTAATTAGGGAGAAAAAATACGTGAAACCTAACCGAGAAGCATACCTCAAAGGAGGACGCCTCTCATGTTTTGGTAATGGCAAACACATATGGCTCCTGAAAAATAGCCAACTGCATGTTTGGAGAGCCATGTTATCAGGTATACGTAGGAGAGTGACAGCTACATTAGCAATTTGATATTGAAACACAGAATTTATTATTTATGAAAGACAGGAGAAGCATGTCGTAGTTTCTCTATAGTTCTCATTTGCCTTGCATACATGGGTGTAACTTTGGCTCTAAGAGTTAGATACTAAGTATGATAAAGCCTGTCGCTCATCCTGCTTCTCTGCATCAAAAGCATTGAGGACAACTACAGGCATCAACATATATGGTCAAACACAGCTAAAACTCTTTTATGGTATGATAGTAACTTAAAAGTAATACTGAGAGTCTGAGACATCTTTTAAGACAATCAAGCTCACCTGCTTCCCATTTCCCAACTAACACACCTTAAAGGGGAAGGAAAAGGAATGGTGAAGGGAACTTTGTTAAGATTAAATGCAAATACTAATGTTAGCTGTTTTTTCTAAGAAAATAAGCCCTTATATTGGAATACACTGGTTTTGGATTACTATCATGCTGAATTTTCCTCAGTTTGGTGGTAAGCAGATCCCGTACCTGTTGATGATGCAATTCCTGACAGACTGCCACAAGCAAGGCTGACCAATGCCACAGAATCATCCGGCCTGGCATAAAAAATGGGGGTGGCTGAGGTGTTAATAACATTACAGAGAGGAATAATAAATGAACAAATTTTCAATATGCACATCAAATATGTCTTCACAAACACCTTAGCATGCTCAAAATCAGAAACATATTTAAGCCAGACTACCTATGCATCTGCCAATAGGTCCGTGCTGTGTCATAAACTGAGAAGCTTATTGCCAAATTTGGACCAACACCCTGCATAATACATACCGTTAAGATCTCATGCTGGAATATTAAAGAGAGAATGATAATTTGATAAAATCAATGGCTAAGTTAGCTAATCAATTGGATTTAATCTTTTGGTGTAGTTTGGCTTAAGTATTGTATATGCCTTATGCCCCACTTGAAGGACTCCATTGGGTAGGCTGCTCATGTTGCTGTTATCTTATGGCTCAATTAAATGGCTCCTCCTAATCCATCATAAATCCCATCTTTTAGTCCACTTTCTATGTCATGACCCAGAAAGGATCCACATGATCCTCAATTCAAATTGTGGATTTCAAATTCTTTTTCTATGTTATGGAATTTAAAATGTGGAATTGGAAAATCTGGAATTAGAATTCAATTCCAAAGCTACATATTTTTGTGCTACCGAATAGCACAATTGGAATTGAAGTCTCCAATTCCAACTCCATAGCCTGAACTCTATGTACTAAATGGAGGCATAGAGTTAAGAAGTCCATTCCCGACAGTTCATGAACTTTGTTAACGCAAATTTTCCATTAGAAGTCCATCCCAAATGGCATGTGGCCTATTGAACCTGATTGTACATCTAGAAGTCTAATCTGAATGCTCATGGAAATGAGGGTCCTATTTGCAAATGAGCAACCAATTAAATTCAAAATATTCCTATTTTTACTCAAAGCAGAATATTACTCTCAAGTTGGAGATAAAGAAAGAATAATGGCAAAAATCTTGTCAAGCTAGCTACTCTATTAGATTTATGACCAGCTGAGTAACTCTAACCCAATCCTAAATTCCAACTCTACAAAGCACAATGAGAAAGCATAAACCAAAAACTGCATTTCAAAAAAAAAAAGAACTGTGAACAGTTCATTTCATCTTTTATTTAAAGAAAGAATCATAGTTGTAAAAACATTACCAATAGAGTTGCACCGAGTCCTCTATAAAGGCCTCTAGCCCCTTCTTCCTTTTTTATGGTATGTAAGGCATGCCATATACCACTATAGTATATAACACTTGTCTGCAAACCAAGCATGATCAAAATGAACCGTAACTATAGAATAAAAGGTATAAATAAAAAAGAGATAAATAATATCTGACAGTACATGATAAAAGTCTATTTACCTGTGCAGCAAGGCGTGTCCTAACTAGATCCAGAGGATATGTAATAGAAGCTGCAGTAATTCCAGCCAAACCACCACCTACAAGTCGTACACAAAGGTCGGCAGTAAGGTTCTCTCCTTGGCGTTCAACTCCCAACATCAACTGTAATACCTGCAACATATAATTGGACAAAGATTGAAGATTTTATCATTTGAAGCCGTGCGTAACATTAGATGAGCTATTTTATAGGACATGTCTACCAACATTCTTGTAGCGCTCAAATGCATAAAAGCTGATAGAGGAATAAGGAAGCCGGTGAGCAATTGTGACCAAATTTCCCTTCCAGAATGCTCTAAATCCTTCTTCGCGAACAATGCGGGAAGCCTCCCTCCATATGCAGGCTTTTTTCAAGTGTGCAACATCTGTGTGCATTCCTTGCACCTATTAGATAAGAAATACTAATAAATTTAACATTTCATTTAAAAAACGTAGGGCTAGATAGTAATCCTAATTCATAGGTGCAGTGCAGGAAGGGGAAGATTCCATAAACATCAAAGAAAATAATAAATCCAATTTTTTTCCAAATAGTACATTTTTCTTAATTTGAGCATGCCAAGACAGTTTTTTTTTCTGACCTACAAAGGCTGAATCTCGAATTTGAGATGTAGAGTAAGACTGATTTACAGGCAAGCAATATCAATGAGAAATGAAGAAAAACTAGCAGAAATTTTGAAGAAGAAGAGACTCCGTAACATATACAAACAGACAAAAACAGAGACGAACTACGAACCTGAAAAAGGATAGTGAGGCGAGCAAGGGGCGCCGTACAGGTTTTACTGACGGCGCCGGCGATGCCTCCGGCAAGAAGCTGCGAAACGGTTCCGATCTGAGGTTGCTGGCTTTCTCGCTGCTGCTGTTGATGGTTTTTGATCAATTTGCGAGCGGCGGCGCCACCATCGACCACCACCGCCCCGTGTGCCGCGTTCAGAGACATGTGTCCTCCGCCGCCTGCTTCGACCGCCACGCCGGCCCTCGCCTCCGTCTGCATCTCTCTCTCTATATCTCTCAGTTTCTCTATCTCCCTCCCTCTTCGACAGGTGAAATCTTTGCAGCCAGACAGCCACCCTTGGGCGTCACGCGTTTTCTCAGGACAAATGGTTCTGGATGCTCTGATTCTGCCGATTAATTGTCAATTTGTCACCAAACAAAACGACGACGTAAGAAGTCAGCTGCCAATCTATACTTTTTTTTAAAAAGAGGGAAGGTTGCCTCAATATTTTCCAGCTCATACGTGAAACACACGTATGAAAAGTGTTAACAACACAAATAGTAGTTTAATTATTTTCACTCAATGTTTTTCTTCCATTTTAATACGGAGTAGTATGTTTTCTTTTTTGTTTAAATGCTACGTCATTTAAGTATTTAAATTAAATTAAATAGTAGTGAACCATTAGGAAATTATAGTATGGAAATAAAATACGATACCATTTAAATATGAAAATAAATAAAAAATTATAAATTAATAAAGTATGTGCGTGATTAGAATTGTTTATTTCAAAAAACTACAAATTAATGATTTATTTCAAAAAAGTATTACTCCGTATAATTTACAAGCATGGCCGTGTAAAAATGGTAAGTTTTCTAAAATAAATTAGAAACTAAATATGGTACGGTAAGTAAATGGTAACATTTAAATGCGAAAATAAAATAAAAATATACAAATTAATATTAATACTGTAATTTACAAGCATATAAATATTTTTAAACACGAAAATAAAATAAATGGTAAATGTTCTAAAATAAATTAGGTAAGTGTTCTAAAATAAAATAGAAAATAAAATAAATTTAAAAATGGTAAGTGTTCTAAAATAAATTAGAAAATAAATGTGGTTCGGTAAGTACTTTGTCATATTTAAATACAAACATAAAATAAAAAACAACAAATTAATATTAATACTAAAATTTACAATAATGAAAATGTTTAAAAATGGTAAGTGTTCTAATTAGAAAATAAATACGGCATGGTACGTCTGTACGGTAAGCAAATGATACCATTTAAGCACGAAAATAAAATAAATAGTAAATGTTCTCAAATAAATTAGGTAAGTGCTCTAAATAAATTAGAAATTAAAATAAATTTCAAAATGATAAGTGTTCTAAAATATATTTAAAAAATACGATACAATAAGTAAATGGTTGTATCTAATATCTATCTTAGGAAATACATTTATGCTGTATAAATACTTTTATTAAAAATCATATAAAATAACTATCCGGTCCCAAAAAGTCTCTATTTTTTTTAATGAAGATCGTACTAGTCTAAACCATTTTCTTAAATAAGACTAAACTGATTCTATCCTTATAAGTATTGTTCTTTTTTAAAAGACCGTTCCGGTCATTTTGCTCATCTCTACTTATGATTGAGACATAAAGGATTCATTTCAAATAAGTTTCACATAGTAATTACGGAGTACAAATGAACTGTCTCGTTCAATGCATTTACCTATTGCTTATAACTAAAATAGACATATCTGGCATTCAAAAAAATTAGACATATCTAAAACTTCTTAGCTTGAGTGATGAGAAGTTCACTTCCAAGATTATTGAAAGTTTACCTAGGTTTGAGTCTGAGGAGAGGTGGTATCATTAGCGCATTCTGCGTCATTAAGCTGAGAAAATTTGAAAATATACTACGTTGTGATCGAGTCAATGACACTAAAAAATTTACATGCTAAGTTACCCATTTAAAGAACCTACCACAATCTTTTAATAAGGTTCCATAGGACTAGGATTGCACCGAACAACACATTCCTATATAGCGCCTTAGTAATTTTTGGAACATTAGATTTTCCAACTTGTATTGAATTAATCCTAAATCTTTAAAACATCACATCAACAACTTTAAGACTCGTCCCTTAAAGTGTCTTAGTTGAGATTGAGGAATATAATAGTCATCATATTCTGTCTGATTATCTTGATTTATATTTGAATTTTTTAATCCTCTATAAGACATGGAGTATCTAACTTTGTAAAGTATGGAGTATCACAAGTCACAACTACTCCTTTGTCCATGTGTGTTGTTCAAATAAAAAAATGTACTCCCCCCGTCCCATTTTATAACGTCTGTTTCGGTTTACGATGTCTGACTGAAGTTATTTTCAAATTATTTTATATGACAAATGATATAAAATTAGAAAATAAAAGTTACATATCAAAATACTAAATCAAAAAATCTACAAAACTAGTAGTGACAACAATATTTTATTTTATCAATTTATTAACAAAAATAGAGAAAAAAAATGAATAAAGTTTGACCCTGTGAATAGAGTTTGACCTAGTAATAAAATTTGTTAACAATATTTTATTTTATCAATATTTTATTTTACATAATACAGAACACATCAAAAGAGAATTCTTATTCGTAAATGTAAGTTAAAATTATGGAGAATAAACAAAGCAAAACAAAAATGAAAAAAAATGGCCTTATTGAAACAAAGTATGTGGTTTTCAAATGTGGTCTTTAAAATGAGCTAAAATTACATTTTTCACAAATACGGAGTATAATACGAATTACTGCGGAGTGATACACAATACACATTTCAAATTGTCCAAGTGCTTTTACACAAAAAATTGAGTCATGAAAAAAAATAATACCTTATACTCTATATATGTTTAAATGTCCATATTTTCCGATTTTATCCTCCAGACACACACACACACACACAGTGATATAAACACTCCCTAATAAACACTCCACCACTATAAAAATAAATAATGCTAATATGATAAACACCACTAAAACTATAATGCTCTCAGCGGTTAATTGGTCGCAAGACAGAGCTTTCGTCCTGGGCAACCATGGTGGCAGCCATTGAAGCTCGAGAGTCAGAGCTTTTGCTGGAAATGGAAGAGGCAGCAAAAGCTTCCAGAGTCTTCATCTTGTTATTAGTAGCTTCTCCGCCAAGGTAGTTTGACAATGCCCTCTTCACTCCAAGGCCACGCCTGGGGAGCTTGTTGTTGCCACCGCCACCGCCGCCGCCCAGGAACGGCGTCACCTCCGCCCCCCTGGCTGGGCTGATCAAAGGCGGGCCCGGGGATTTGAGAGGGGTTGCTGAAGAGGAAGAAATGATGAGTTTTCTGTGCGGCACGGCTATGGAGTAGGGGGCGGCTTTCCGGCGGGGTGCTTGGCTATGTCGTCCACGTGGATGAGATCGTCAATGCGCGCCAATATGTTGAAAGCCACACTCTCCAACACTCTTGAATAGCTCTCCAGGATTGACTTCCCCACATCCTGATCAAACATGGGAGTTTGAAAAGAAAGAAAGAAAGAAAGAAAGAAAGGAGAGAGGACCTTGTTGCAGTGAATCTTGGTGGCATCCAAGGTGGTTTGGGTGAGATTGGGAAATCTTTGTTTTAAACAAAGGAGGAGATTTTCAGCTCTCTCTGCAAGTAAATCTCTCCTGCAGTCTCCATCAACAACTAGATCTTTGACAATACCCCAAGAAGATTTGGGTGTTGAACGATTTGGATGAGTCGGAGGTCTAGTGTGGTGGTGGTGGTGGTTGTGATTTCTGCGCCAAACATGGATGGCAGCCTCGCTGTTTGCCATCTCCAGAGCCATCATCGAGGAGGACAACTTAACTCCAAAGTGACCCCACCAAGGTCTACGGCTAGAGTGCCCCCTAGATATTTGGCAAGCATCTCCATACAGACGAAGCAGAAGTTCACTAGTTGTCCCATACGCCTTCATCTAGTGTTACCCTTGGTTGAGTTTAGAAACAACACCTAGATAGGCAGGACCGGGCAAACAACCTCCTCGACTCAAGAAAAAGCCCAATTAACCAGAAGATCCACTTCATAGTCAAGATAGCCCAAAGTCTTCCAGAAAAACCCCAACCAAAAGGGTCAAGAAAAACAAAGGGCGGCCTGCCAGGAGGACCGAACTGGCAAAAGTAAACATCAAACCTAGCTCAAAATGGATTGGGATTCCTCCAGAAATGATTTCAAAGCATGTGGAAGTAAAGACGGCAGCTGTGGGAGAAGCTGTCCACACGCTGCCTCAACCTCGTTTTTGTTCATTTTCCTTCAAGAAACACAATCCACTAGCTCCTGTGCGCAAATAAAATCCAAAAGGCAGCCCCCAAAATTGCTCTGTTCCAAGCTCAACTTCGAAAATATTCAAAATCAGCTCAGACCATCCAAAAAAGCAGTGCCAACCAGCTGGTTTTGTAGCAAAATCTGCACAAAGACCTTCCTTAGCTAGGAGAAACCAAGTGGGAGAGTTATGTAGAATCTCCAATCACATAACTTTCCAAACTCAGTTTCATTAGTCCATGGCAGCCCCATTTCCAGCCCCTTACTGCCCAGGGTACAACAAACCAACACGAAGCCACCCAAAACCAAAACCTCAAATTCATCAAGCTAACATCCCCTGATTCCAGCACCAGGAACCAGCACAGCAGCAGGTTATATTTCAAAAATCCATGGCTAGCACAAATAAACTTAAGCATACAGTCCACACGGGTAGCAAAATCCACGAGCAAAGTAATGTAGCCCCAACAACAAGGTCCAAAAATACAGTTAAAAACATTCATGAACATGACATCAATCAGTTGTGCAGCCAGCAACCGTGCATTCAAGGCAAAAGTTAAGATTTGTTCAATAATAGTTTCAAAGAAGCATCAAGTACTCCTAAAAAAACCAGCCAGTAACCACAAAAAGTTTGGCATAAACCAATAAGGAACATGGTTCAATTCATACAGCCAAGTTCTCGCTGTGAGCAGTGACATTGTTTCCCCAAATACCTCAAATCGTTCAATGATTCAAGTGGAATTGAAATCCATGTTCATACCTTGAATTAGCAAACAATTTTGCTCAGAATCCTAAAAGGAAGTCCTTCAATTCTGCTTGAGACTAGAGAAATCTGCGATTTTCAGTTCGTAGATGAACAGTGAAAGCTTTGCCGTTGACCTCCAAATTGCCCGATACCAGCTCAAAAAATCCCAAATGGAATTCATATGAAGTAGGCTTACATCATCCGAACCAAGGGCTCCAAAAATCAGACCTAGAAGAGCTCAGAATTAATGGAAGAGTCGAAGGGAAGAGCCAGTGAACAGTAGGGTTAAATTAGTTTTTTAATAAAAAATAAAAGTATTTTGGAAAAAGTGAAAAAAAAAATGTTTCACATCATAAAAATAGAAAGAATACGTGAGAAAGCTCACATTATAAATGTAAACTTTAAGACTATGTAAACATCACTCAATCCAAAAAATAAGAGTGTCTTAAAGATACAAGTTGAGAGTAGTAAAAATAAAAGGATTAAGCTATTTTAGGAGTATTTTAGAGATTTTAGGTAGGATAGAAGTATTTTATGGGCTGCGCAAAAAATTAAAACGGAAGTGTTTTGTAGTATGGAGGGAGTAAATATTTACCCCGTATTTACAAGCCGAGATCTTGAATGTTGTGATGGTGTGAGGTGGTGGAGTCAAGTCATGTAGAATATAAAAAGGTCTCTCTCTCTCTCTCTTCGTGAGTGAACAACAAACTTTTTGCATTTGGGTTTTGAATATCACTAAAGCAGCATATCCATGGAACTCTATTTCAACCACAGAAGTTCAATTAGTGTAACAACATAAACTGCTTACATAACAAGTACACTACTGATAAAATGGAGAGAGAACCAAGTGTGCATACATAGCATAAAATAAAACCCAACCCATACAGAGAGTGCAAACAACATAATGAAAATCCATGGCATTGGAAGTGAAAATGGCAGGAGACATAAAATTAGGTGAAGTGGTTAAGGGTCTAGGGGAAGAATGCCCCTTGAAGAAGAGAAACACGACCGTCTTCTGCCTGGAAGATGTATTGGCTCTCAATCTCAAGAGACAGGAATGTGCTCTCATGTTCTTTATAATCACTAAGACGACGACGAGCAGCAAGAGGTGCATCAGCAGAAAGAGGCATACATAGTGCTTTATCTTGCAGTGCACGAGCAGCATCACACAATTTCACAACACTAAAGATGGATACAGCAAGCACCTGAAATGGAACGCTAATTGGGGTTGATCTGGATTTGTTCATCTGATTCCTGCGCAGAGCTGGAATCGCAGGATTGTATCCAAACAATAGAGCGCACACTTTGCCATCCTCCATAGCAAACACATGGTATCCTGCTGAATATAGCCGCACAGAGAAGACATTGCCCAAATTTTGATAGCCCAAGAGACACCCATCTTTCGAGTACAGATATCCAAACAATTCCATTATATCCCTTATACCACGAGCAGAACAGGGATCGTAATCGTCCTGTTCCTGAAAGGCAAGAATGACATCTCCACCACACACAGTTGTTCCACCCGCTGGAATTATCCAAGGGTAGCCTAAATATCTGCAGAAATATTTAAGCATGTCTTCCTCTCTACCCCACAGTCTTCTCTTGGTATCATAGTGGTATACCTTATTAGAACATGTCAANCACCCATCTTTCGAGTACAGATATCCAAACAATTCCATTATATCCCTTATACCACGAGCAGAACAGGGATCGTAATCGTCCTGTTCCTGAAAGGCAAGAATGACATCTCCACCACACACAGTTGTTCCACCCGCTGGAATTATCCAAGGGTAGCCTAAATATCTGCAGAAATATTTAAGCATGTCTTCCTCTCTACCCCACAGTCTTCTCTTGGTATCATAGTGGTATACCTTATTAGAACATGTCAAGATGTACAGCTTGTGGCCCAGAACAAAATGGCCGGCCACACGATCAGGCCGATCATCACCCTCATAGTCATGGACATCGAAATCATCATGTTTATGATCATCATCATCATCATCATTAGAACTAGAGCTAGAGCTAGATTTATAACAATCAGTATAGAAAGGGGGGTCGGCCAGTACCTCGCAAATGGAATCCTCGGAAGCAGAACAAGGATCGAATACCTCAAAAGTTTTAGCCGGTTGATGATACAAGCTTCCTGTTTCGAGGACATAGATCTTTCCCTCAATTTCTGCCACGATCGGCCGCGATTTTGAACCTCTCAAAGAGAAGTTTGCTTTCTGCAAGCTATTTGCAATTGGATCGAATTCGTGAACTTCGGCCGTGCAAGAGTAGCCAGTAGTTTTTTCGCCGACCATATAGATCTTGGATCGGCTGGATTTGATAACACGCAACCCATACGGATAGTTATTTCCATATTCCAAGGAAACCGCTGCTTGTGGCGGAGGCTCTGCTGATTCTAACAAGGGATCGAAATTGTAGTTTTTCAGATCCAGGCGGAGGAGGGAGCGCGACGTGCTTACGTACAGATCCTTCATCTCGCCCATCTCTTGCAGGAGTTGCAGCCGCTACAGAAGAAGTCACGTTAGGGTTCGGGCTTCCCTTCCAGCAAATTATATGGCTTTGGCTACATCTTGGTATTTTTGTAAATTTTACAAACTTTTTTCCCAATGCCCAGAACATATGTATGATAACTATTATATACTCCCTCCGTCCCCGATTTGATTACAAATTGCGGGTTACGGAGTAAAATTTTCTACTTTCTGAAATCATTTTATTTACAAATTGGTATATCAATAAGATATAAAAATTACATATTAAAAAATTACGTCAAAAGTTCTACAAAACAAGAGGTGACAAGAATATTTTATTTTATCAAATACTTAATAAAATCGCGTAAACAAACAAAAGTTATCGAGAGGAGAGAAAAAAAAATTGTAATCCATTTAGGAACGGAGGGAGTATGACAATGAGTACCAACAAATTTGAGAACGAGTACCATATTCTTATTCAATACAAACACGAATAAACTTGGGTTTTAAATTCTCCATACTCAGAGAGTATAAATGAGTAGGAACGAATTAAATAGAGGAAGAAGTTGATGATGGTACTGCACTTTTTAATTGTGAAAAAATTGAACAATACTTTGTTTCAGAATGAACTTTTCCTTATTTGAGAATGAGTATTGTTTTTTTAAATAAACAGTACGTTATTTATTATAATTATATTAGACAAATGTTTAAAAATGAGTACTTTTTTATTTTAAAATGAGTTGTACCTTTGCCAGAATGAGTACTACGTATTTCGAAATGAATGTTTATATTTGTACGAGAATGAGTACTATTTTATTTCAAAATGAGTACTACCGGATGTACTTATTTCTAGGTACATCCGGATGTACAATATACCAACTCGTTCTGGATACTCTGATTCTGCCGATTAATTGTCAATTTGTCACCAAACAAAACGACGACGTAAGAAGTCAACTGCCAATCTATACTTTATTTAAAAATAGAGGAATGTTGTCTCAATTTTATATTATTATCCGGCCCAAACGTGAGGCACATATATAGACAATAGCAAGGCAAAAATGAAATGTCACACAGTGACATGAATTATTTCAACCAATAAAAAGTAACCCAGTCACCGTGTGGCAAATGAGTGGAGTGTCATAACATACAGTGGCAAGTCGTTGTTTTTTTCTATTTTTGCACTTTTTAATAATTTTTAATTATAAAAAATTATTTTAAAAAATTATTTTATTATTAATATATGTTTACTTCTATTAAAAAATATTTTTTTTCAAAAATTACAAATATTAATAAAAATATTAAAAAAATAAAAAATGAAAAAGTCATTCCTTGCACATGTAATGAAAAGTGGGATGGATTGGCCATGGAATAACATGATTTGAGAGGAATTTGCTGACATGGCATGCCAAGGCAAGACATTGTATTGCTATTGTGAATGCTCGAACAACACAAATAGTAGTTTAATTATTTCTCTCAATGTTTTCCTTCCATTTTAAGTATGTTTTCTTTTTTGTTTAAATGCTACGTCATTTAAGTATTTAAATTAAATTAAATTAAATAGTAGTGAACCATTAGGGAATTATAGTATGGAAATAAAATATGATACCATTTAAATATGAAAATAAAATAAAAAATTACAAATTAATAAAGTATGTGCGTGATTTGAATGGTTTATTTCAAAAAAACTACAAATTAATGATTTATTTCAAAAAAGTATTAGAAACTAAAAATATGGTACGGTAAGTAAATGATAAAATTTAAAAACAAAAATAGAATAAAAATCTACAAATTAATATTAATACTATAATTTACAAGCATAGAAACATTTTTAAACACAAAAAAATAGATGGTAAGTGTTTTAAAATAAATTAGGTAAGTGTTCTAAAATAAAATAGAAAATAAAATATATTTAAAAATGGTAAGTGTTCTAAAATAAATTAGAAAATGAATGTGGTTCGGTAAAGTATATTTGAATTCTTTTTCCTCTATAAGGTATGGAGTATCTAACTTTAAAGTATGGACTATGGAGTACTACAACTACTCCTTTGTCGATGTGTGTTGTTCAAATTTAAAAATGTACATTAGGGGTGGACACGGTACCAGTACAGTACCGTGACCGGAAACGGTACCGTCGGTTCCGGTATCGTTACCGTCGGCCGGTACGGTCCACCGGTTCCGGGAACCGGTACCGGTACCGTCCAATCCGGTACCTGTTCCGGTGCCCATTTTTCGGTACCGGCACCGCCGGTTCCGGTTCCGGTACCGTTATTAATTTTTTTTATTTTTATTTTTTATTTCATTCTTTCCTTTATCAATTTCATTTTTAGATTTTTTATTTCATCATTTCCTTTAACAATTACACATTTACAATTTTACATTTTAAAAATATAATAAAAAAACAAAAAAAAATCAAAATTAGGGGTGGCTGAAACGGTACCGGAACCGGAACCGGTACCTGTACCGGTACCAAGGGGTGGCGGTTCCGGAACCGGCGGTTCCGGAACCGGAACCGTACCGTGTCCACCCCTAATGTACATAACACAAAACACACCAAAAGAACATATGCGTGTTTCAAATGTGGTCTTAAAAATGAGCTAAAATTACTTTTTTCATAAACATAATACCAATTACGGAGTAATACACAATACACTTTCCAAATTGTTCAAGTGCTTTTACAAAAACTCAAAAAATGGAATCATGAAAAAAATCATACCTTAGGCTTATACTCTATATATGTTTAATGTCCATATTTTCCGATTTTATCCTCCATGTATGTGTGTATATATATATATATATGCATTGATTTAAATACTCCATAATAAACACTCCACCACTATATAATAATAATAATAATAATAATAATAATAATGCTAATATAATAAACACCACTAAAACTATAATGTCATCTGTTTCAAAAAAAAAAGAGTAAATTCCATAAAACGTCTTCAATTATAGGTCGTTTTACATATTTAGTCCCTACATATCAAATATTACTAATTTAGTCTCCAATGATTATATTCATTTCCACGAATGGTCCTTTGTTAATAATTCCGTTAAGAACGTGGACAAAATTGTATATTTATACTTATCTTTCTTCAATTAAGCTTCCTCCATCTTCTCATACTCTTTCCCAAACTCGTCACTGAATTTAAGCTCTTAAATCCAAAATTTAAATGATCATTCATCCAGTTAGATAAACAATTGAGATAAGAGTGATAATTTTGGTTTTTGGTTCAAAGCTAGAAACTCAGCGAAGGGTTTGGGATAGGAGTGCAAGGGAAGAAGGAAGCTTAATTGAGGAGAGAAAGGAGTGCGAATTTATAATTTTATCCACATTCTTAACGAAAATGTTAACAAAGGACCATTCGTGGAAATGAATATAATAATTGGGGACTAAATTAGTAATATTTGATATGTAGGAACTAAATATGTAAAACGACCTATAACTGGGGACCTTTTATGGAATTTACTAAAAAAACTATAATGTCATCAGCGGTTAATTGGTCGCAAGACAGAGCTTTCGTCCTGGGCAACCATGGTGGCAGCCATTGAAGCTCGAGAGTCAGAGCTTTTGCTGGAAATGGAAGAGGCAGCAAAAGCTTCCAGAGTCTTCATCTTGTTATTAGTAGCTTCTCCGCCAAGGTAGTTTGACAATGCCCTCTTCACTCCAAGGCCACGCCTGGGGAGCTTGTTGTTGCCACCGCCGCCGCCGCCGCCCAGGAACGGCGTTACCTCCGCCCCCCTGGCTGGGCTGATCAAAGGCGGGCCCGGGGATTTGAGAGGGGTTGCTGAAGAGGAAGAAATGATGAGTTTTCTGTGCGGCGCGACTAGTGGAGTAGGGGGCGGCTTTCCGGCGGGGTGCTTGGCTATGTCGTCCACGTGGATGAGATCGTCAATGCGCGCCAATATGTTGAAAGCCACACTCTCCAACACTCTTGAATAGCTCTCCAGGATTGACTTCCCCACATCCTGATCAAACATGGGAGTTGGTTAGAAATAAAAGAAAGAAAGAAAGAAAGAAATTAAAGAAAGAAAGAAAGAAAGGAGAGAGGACCTTGTTGCAGTGAATCTTGGTGGCATCCAAGGTGGTTTGGGTGAGATTGGGAAATCTTTGCTTCAAACAAAGGAGGAGATTTTGAGCTCTTTCTGCAAGTAAATCTCTCCTGAGGTCTCCATCAACCACTAGATCTTTGACAATACCCCAAGAAGATTTGGGTGTTGAACGATTTGGATGAGTGGGAGGTCTAGTGTGGTGGTGGTGGTGGTGGCGGCGGTGGTGGTTGTGGTGGTGGTGGCGCCAAACATGGATGGCAGCCTCCACGCGGTTTGCCATCTCCAGAGCCATATGCTCAGAAGTGAGGTCAATGCAATCCAGGAGACACTCCGGTGAGAAGTGATCTGATGTGATGTACCGGTAGACCACATCTCCTAAGCATGCCCTCCCATTCTATACAAACACATTCATTCAAAAACATCACCATGATGAAGTTTAGGAAATGAATTGAACCATATGGATGAAGAACAAAAATGTTAAAAGGAATATGGGTTACGTTTCCTAGCAGATACAATCAATCACAAGAAAAATCGCAGCTTGGTTAGGATGCCAAGAAAGAAACCTTTGGAAGGGAATCCAAGTAGGACTCAGGAACTTCCATTTCAGCTAGAGTTGAGCTGTTAATGGCCATTGCAGCTTTGAGGATTTGGCTGGTGCATTCGCGCTTGTGATCTAGCTGCCTCCTTGTGGAAATGGGGAGACCACCTGCAGGAACCCTTGGCACTGGCAGCCACCACTTATCTTCTTGTCGCGAGACCGCCTCCTTCACAAAGAAATTGACTGATCCACCCTTCTCCCCACCACCCAAGCCTTTGTCCACATACCAAAATTCGGTGCTTGTAAAACTCTCCACGATTTCCTGCACCATTCAATTGGATTTTTAACATCAGATAGATGTTCCCTATGGGTAATGTAATGCAAGGGGAGCCAAGAAGGTTTGATGCCTTACAATGAGCATGGTGTCAAGTTTCTTGAGAGCTGGAAGGTTTATAAATATATCTAACCTTGGCCTGCTACTCATCACCTGACAACAATATGGGTATTAAGCAAAATCTCATTTATTTGACTGCCAACAAACAATTCATCATGTCTTAATCCTGCATCTCTTTTCTACAATGTGAACTTAAGTATCAGATCATGATTTAATCCTTCAACTGTACACTATTACTCAA